GAGGCTGTCCTGGAACTCGCTCTGTAGACCAGGCTGGCCCTGAACTCACAGAGATCTGCCTGCCTCTGCCTCCCAAGAGCTGGGATAAAAGGCGTGCGCCACCAACGCCGGGCTGCACATTTGATCTTAAGGAGACCTAGATAGAAGCTTGTGACCCTTCGTGCCCTCTCCACTTAGTCACGTGGCTTTTGCACATCTAGCTTTTCAGCGATGGCTGCACTGTCGTCATCCTTCCCAGAAGCCAAGGGCCCTCTCTCAGGGGCGCTCTGACCCCACGGGACTCTGTGTCATGACTGGGGACACAAGTGGCTGGCAGAATTAACCGAATTCCTAGCATTCAGTTGAGGTTCCCTGCTCAACACCTTGCAGGATATCCTCAAATCAAAGGCCTTATTGTTCTTAACCGCCTTACAGCCGAGGCTGAGCAATGCTGAGCTGATAGAGATTTCAGACAACTGCGCATGTCCTCATATGGGACACCCCAGCACTCACCATGCATCCTGTGTGCTAGCCTAGGAATTCTTACCACTCCCTAAGTATTCAAGTCAATGATCTGACTACTGCATGATCAGGGGGTAAACCCATCTAGAATCCTCCTGTGAGGGCCTGGTGGTGTGGTCAGGCTATAGCCCCACCCAGAATCACCCAGTGAGGCGTGGGGGCATGGCTTACTAATGAACACTTTCTGAGCATGTGCACTGGTTTAATTTCCATCCTCAGGACTGTAAAAATAAAGAAGAACTAAAAATCTCTTAGTAGCCGGGTGTTGGTGGCTCACGCCTTTAATCTCAGCACTTGGGAGGCAGAGGCAGGCGGATCTCTGTGAGTTCGAGACCAGCCTGGTCTACCGAGCGAGTTCCAGGACAGCCCCAAAACAATACAGAGAAACCCTGTCTCGAAAAACCACAAAAAAATCTCTTAGCATACTCTTACTCCCATTGCTCGGGAGGTAGAGACAGATCTCTGTGAGTTCTAGGTCAACCGGACCTACACTGTAAGACGCTGACTCAAAAATATCAAACCTCCTATCCCACACTGAACAGCAGAAAAAGGAACATCAGTCCCCAGCAAGGGCCTAGCCAAGGAAACAGTGGTGTCAGAGTCACCACCGGCCCCCCTCCATCCTTCAGGGATACAGAGTTACAGCCTTTGGGGCTTAGGGGGATGAGACTTGGAGATGTAGGGTCTGAGGCCATCAGGAGGGCATCCCTGTTGTCCTCGGGTGGGAGGGCAGCCTGAGTGTGGTCCTGGGTGTTGTGGGCCTACCATTGAGCCAGGCTCACTCATTGATTTCCCCTGCTAGGCAGGGTCAGGTTTCAGGGGGGGCCCAGGCAGATGTTGAGCTGAGCAGTTCTGTTTTCCTTAATCCCCTGGGGCCAGCAGGAACTGTCCCTTCAAGAGGGAACAACAGGCCGGTTAAGGCCACCATCTGTGCAGACCTGATTTTAAACGTGCCTGGGTTGGGGAGGGCAGAGGTCGCCATAGCAACACTGAGTAAGGGGCTGTGGGTGCGTGGGTGTTCTCATGCTAGGTAGGGCATACAGAGGATCACAGCCTGCAACAATGCCTACAGATCTCCTCCTCTTCCTTTCCGCTTCCTCTCCTTCTTTTCCCCCTCTTCCTCTTCCTCCTCTTCCTCCTCTTCTTCAATACACCTTATTGCCTTTTGGCATTTGAAGGAAAATTAATTACCTTTTTTAACCTGTTCTGGTTTAGTTGCTCATGCTGACCTCAAATTCAATGGGCAGCTAATGCTAACCTAGACTCCAGAGGCCCCTGTTCCCTACCAGAGTTGAGTACCCACTGAGTCCCAGCCACACCCTCCGTTTGCCTCCAGCCACGCACCTCGTTTCTTTTTCTTTCTCTCTTATTTTTTATAGAGATGTCTCTAATGCTCTTTACTGCTGGATGGTTTCAAGCTTCCAAAAATCCTCCTGCCTCAGCCTCCTGAGTGTGCGGATGACAGGCCTCAGACAGCACACCAGCTCCAGCTAGTAATCATAGCCGCAGGATCGTGTGGGTGTGGGTGTGGGTGTGGGTGTGGGTGTGGGTGTGGGTGTGGGTGTGGGTGGGTGACTGTTAAAACCATTCATTCCCTGTGTCTGCCCACACCCAGACTTTCCATGACATGAAAGTGCATTGCAAACCCGGGGTCCACTGGAGGGGAAGTGGAACCACAGGCCTGTACTGAGCACGGTTTCACAGGACACAGGAACAGGGCCTGCATCCACCAGGGAGCAGGACTGTGAGGGAACTGAGGCCAGCTGGAGCTGAGGCAGGAGGATTTCAAATCTGAGACTATTTGTCTGGGCTACGGAGGAAAGGCCCTGTATGGAAGAGTTAAAATAAGTCTGGGAAGGGGCTTCCTGAGTGAAGGGCTTGCTGTGCAAGTGGGAAGGCCTGCGTTTCTTCCCTAGCAGCCATCAGACCCAGGCATGGCTGTGCATGCCGCTCATCAGTCATAGCTTCAGTGAGAGACCCTGTCTCAAAACATGATGTGGAGAGCATCTGAGGAGAACTCCGATGGCAGCCTCCGGACCCCACTCACTGTGTGTGGAGTCTCATGTATAGACACACACACGCGCACACACACACACACACACTAATAAAAAGAATTAAAAATTTAAAAAGGCAGTGGTGTCACATGCCTTTAATCCCAGCATTCAGGAGGCAGAGGCCAGCCTGGTCTAAAGAGGTAGTTCCAGGACAGCTAGGGCTACACAGAGAAACCCTGTCTGGAAAAAAAAAGAATTAAAAATATTTACACACAGCCGGGCGTTGGTGGCACAAGCCTTTAATCCCAGCACTCGGGAGGCAGAGGCAGGCGGATCTCTGTGAGTTCAATGCCAGCCTGGTCTACAAAGTGAGTTCCAGGATAGCCTCCAAAGCCACAGAGAAACCCTGTCTCAAAAAACAAACAAACAAAACAAAAAAAATATTTACACACTAGGGAGGCAGGGCAGGCAGATCTTCAAGTTTGAGGCTAGCTAGTGAGTTCCAGATATCCAGGATTATACAGAGAAACCTGTCTCAAAAAAAAAAAAAGATAGAAAGAATAACAAATCAAAGGAGTGACTTTTGCACCAGTATGGAAGCACATGTGTGAATATTTATGGATGTTTCCTTCATGATGTCCAAACAAGGGAGTAAGTAGTCTGTACTCAAAGCCCTTGAGCTGGAAACATCTGATGCACGACGTCCACCACAGAATCACTGTGCCTTGATACCGATAGAAGTGAGGTCAGACTACAGGGTTGCCGGGGAAAGATGCTTGCTGCCTGATGACCCGAGTTCCATCCCTGGGGCCCACATGGTAGGAGAGACCTGCAAGCTGTGCTCAAGTGCGTCGCGGCATCTGTGTGCACACGTGTGAACGAGGGCGCCTTTTCTGTATCTGTTTGTGTGGGCTGGGGTGGACCAAACAGCTTCACACCAAACAGCTCTCCCTCAAGCCAGAAGGAATTCTCCAAAGTTTAAGATAGCATTTTATTTATTTATTTATTTATTACATGTCCAGTGTTCTGACTGCATGTGTGCTTGCAGGCCAGAAACAGGCACCAGATCTCATTATACATGGCTGTGAGCCACCACATGGGTGCTGGGAGTTGAACTCAGGTCCTCTGGAAGAGCAGCCAGTGCTCTTAACCTCTGAGCCGTCTCTCCAGTCCCCTTAAGATAATATTGTAAAATGTGGACCCCTGGACTGGAGAGTTGGCTCAGCAGTTAAGCGCACTGGCTGCTCTTCCACAGGACCCAGGTTCAATTCCCAGCACCCACATGGCAGCTCACACCTGTCTGTAACTCCAGTTCCAGGGGATCTAACTCCCTCACACAGACATACGCAAACAAAACATCAATGTACATAAAATAAAAATTAAAAATACACAAGAAATAATGATAATAATAATGTGGACCCCAGGACACACAAGCAGATGCTGACTTCCATGAATGTACTGTGTATGTGCGCATGCATAAATAAACAAATAAGACTTAGCATTTAAGAGTGATGATTTAGTAGCTCTTTGGGAGGTTGCAATACCTGGATTCAAATCCAGAAAGAGAGGTTTGGGAAGAGAGAAAGATGAAGGGGGCCATGTAAGTTTAGACAAGAGATCATTAGAAGGGACAGGGACAGGGACAACTGGTCAGAGTTTAGACCTTGCAGGAGGCTCTCCAGGTTTTCATCCCAGCCCCCACAGCTGCTCGCTACGCTGGTCTGTGGAATGGGCTGGGCCTGTCAGCTCTGCAGCCTTGGAGAGATGGTAGGAGATGCAGTGTGAGTCATCCCGACTGCCAGTGTGGGGCACCAAGGAGGCCAGGTAAGTGACAGTGGGTGAGATGCCTCGCAGTTCTGAGGAGGCTGAGGTTCAGGGGTTCAAAACCAGCCTAGGCTACACAGTGAGATGTTGTGCCACAGGGAGAGACGGGCTGGGGCTCAGGGGTACAACACTGGAGCCACTAAGTTCCAGTCCTATCACCAAAAACGCCCGATGCGAGTCTTAGGCAGGAGGATCATAAGCTGAAGCCAGCCTGGACCCTGACTCAAAATAAAACAAAAATCGCCAAATTCTGGGATGGAGCCCTGCTTTTGCCACAAGCATCAATGAGCCTCGTTTTCCCAAAAATCTGTTTCCCTGTGTAGAAATGGACTCTGTGTGACACACACCGTAAGATCCCAAACACTGCAGGATGCTCAGTGATCCTCACATGGAGACTTCATGGGTCACAGTGAGTGTACCCCATCCCATCTGAAAACCACACACACACACACACACGTGCGCACACACGCGCGCGCGCACACACACACACACACACACACACACACACACACACACTACTCCAGACTTTTATTCTGAAGCTGAGGCCCCAACCTATGAGGTAATTCTTGGAGCTTCATTCGAGGATGATTCTTATTGGTCCACTGGCCAAGCCCCGCCCAGGGTTCCCTGCGCTCCGCCTTCCTCTCCAGAGCTTAAAAGTGCAACATCCGGACCTGGGCAGCCACCAGGACACCTGCAGCTGCTGCTGAGCAGGAACAGGTGCTGGGGAGGGGAGGGGGGCCCTGGGGACAATGCAGGTTGGCACATCTTCCAGAAGGCTAACTGGACTGTCAGGGAAGGCAAAAGGAGCTCGAGCTGTCTCCCTGGGAGGTAGGAGCAGGTGAGATCCTTGTGCTTTTGGTCCCCCCCTTGGGACTCCCTGGGGCGATGGGAAGGGATTCAAACCGAAGACGGATCCCCGCGAGTCAGGACAGACACAAGGAACAGGTATCGGGGCAGAAGGCAGATGCTGAGCGCCTGCCCTTGCGCCCACCCACCCCGAGGAATGGCTAATTATTTTTCAGCACCGGAGCCTCGGACAGCGCCGGCCGGGTGGTGGACAGGAGGGCGTCTCGACTTCAGCACCCAAAACGCGGACAGCTCCCAGCGGGCTACCAAGGAGCGGGGCTTCAGCACCAGGTGGGCTCAGCACAGCACCAAGCGTCACCGCAACCTTGGGGTCTGTTCCGGTGAAGAGGGTGGTTTGAGACCGCTAACGGTTTGAGATACTTGTCCTTTACAGAGTTGGGCTTTTTTGTTTTTTGTTTTTTTTGAGACAGGCTGTCCTGGAATTCACTATGTAGACCAGGTTGTCCTCGAACTCAGTATGGGAGAGAATCATTCTGTCAACGGAATAATAAGTTCCACTGGGTGAACCGATGTCCCAAGTGAAGTGGTGAAGGGCAAGCCAGACGCAATCTAACTTTATATCTCACATTCTTTTTATTTTAAAAAGGGTCTCTGTCTCATGTCTCTCTCTCTCTCTCTCTCTCTGTATGTGTGTATATACAGAGAGAGAGAGAGAGAGAGAGGAGGGAGGGGGGGAGGGGGGAGGGGGAGAGTGAGAGGGAGGGGCGTAGCCTTCTGTAGCCCAGGCTGGCTTAGAACTCCATGTGAAGCCAGGGATGATTTTGAAACCCTCATCCTCCTGCCTCCACTTCCTGAGTGCTGGGGTGGCCAGTGTGTGCCTCTCACACCTGGATCAATAAATCCTACATTGCTGATGGGGCAGGGTGTGGGTCGGGTGGTTAGAGAACAGATCTCTCTTGGGTCAGTGGATGGAATGGGGGAAAGGAGGCTCAGGGTCAGCAAGTCAGTGGGATCTGTTCCGCTCAACACAGGACCAGCACAGGACCAGGACAAGGGGCTGAGCATGTGAGCCAGTGCTATGTGGAAGACTTGTGATTTTGTTGTTCTGATGTGGAATGACAACAAGTCACAGCCGGCCTCATAGCGTGGACTCCCTTCACCTTCCTTCTGAAACACACAAAACAGTCAGGGCAGGAAGCTGGGGCAGAGGGGGAGAAGGAGGAGTCGGGGATGGGCAGGGGAGGGTGTCTGGCAAAGTCGACGGTCCTGGAGGTGCAGCGACGTCACACATGTGCTATTGGCCTGTCACTCAAACACTTACAGGACAGGATGGGAGACAACCTCAGGGCCCTGGGCTGTTTCAGATGTATTCCTTGGCAAAACAAATAGCGAGTGCAGACCTAGTGAAGTGTCTCGGAGTGTAAAGGGACTGCAAGAATTGGAAAACCTGAATTAGATTCCCAGAGCCAACATGGTAGAAGGCTAGAAACAACTTCAAGGTGTCCTCTGGCTGCCACACATGTCCCGTGACACACACTCCCACACACAAATAAATAAACACAGGAAAAACTTTTAAAAGAGAGATTAGCATAGGAGGCGCTTCGAGAGCACCTCAAGTTATTTTTCCTTTCTTCCCTTCCTCTCACTAGGTCTGTCTCTAAACAAACAGAGCCTCCTTTAGCCCAGGCTTTCCTCTAACTCTGAATGTAGCCAAGGATAGCCTCCACTACTGAGCCTTCTTGTCCCGTCTCCCTGAGTGCTGTCCACACTATGTCCAGTGTGCATGGTGCTGGATCTGGAGTTTCAAGCAAACTCCTGGGCATGGTACCCACAGAGCCCCAGCCCAGACCCAGTGGGTCCTTGTCAGTAAAACGTCTGTGTCCCCCACATCAACCACTGGTTGCATGACTGATCCTAGAAAAATGTGGACTTGTGTTTGGTGGGTCATTGCACCCTTAACATCCATGGACCTTCACCTGTGACATCCAAATGCAGTCACTAACACCCCCCCTCGTGGGATTCTCCCCAGATCCCTGGTGCTGTGACACCGGGGCTTGTTTATCTTACAGTGATGGTCACACCCCACCACGGGGAAGTCAGGGCTGGAACCTGGAGACAGGAGCTGATGCAGAGGCCATGGAGGGTGCTGCTCACAAGCTTGCTCTCTATGGCTTACTCAGCCTTTTTTTCTGAGACAGGGTTTCTCTGTGGCTTTGGAGACTGTCCTGGAACCTGCTCTGTAGACCAGGCTGGTATCGAACTCACAGAGATTCACCTGCCTCTGCCTCCCGAGTGCTGGGACTAAAAGCAGTGCAACCACCACCCGGCTTCAGCCTGCTTTCTTACAGAACCCAGGACCAGCAGCCCAGGGATGGCACCACTCACGGTGGTCTTGGGGCTCACACATCAGTCATTGATCTGGAGAATGCCTGACGGAGGCATTTTCTCAGTTGAGGCTCCTGCTTCCCAGAGAGCCCCCGCTGTGGTGGGGAGTGATGAAGAACCCAACCACACAGCAGCCCCATGGTCTTTGTCCACGCGGTTTCCTCCCCTGGGACAGCATGAACCCCTCACATAGCCTGAGTAAGCAACTCTGCCTTCTCCAGGCTTCAGCGCCTTGGGAGAAACTAGGACAAGACTTTATTATAAACATTCTCAGGCTCCTGGCTCCTGAGGAGGCCTCATTATGGCCTTGATTCTCAGGCAGAGTGCTTACATATTTCTTCTTGGTTGCACTGTGAGCTCAGGGCAGCACTGCGGAGCAAACCCAGCACCTTGCAAACACTATGGTGAGGCCATGACCTCAACTGGGAGATTCTAGACAGGGGCTCTACCCCTGAACACTCTCTCAGTCCCTCACTGGAGTTCCTAGGTGGGGCTTGACCAATGACCCACATCTAGCCAAGGAGATAAAAGACCAGGAAGAATTTTAGGTGAGAGTTGTAAATTCTAGGCAGGGACTTGATTGGTGAGCGACACTTTCAGCTTATTGTGTAAGATTTTTGTTTTGTTTTTTGAGACAGGCTCTCACTATATAGACTAAGCTGCCCTGGAACTCAGAGGCCCACCTTCCTCTGCTTTGCCTCCAGAGTGCTGGGGTTAATGGTGTGCCCCTCCATGCCTGCTTATCTTTTATTTCCTTTCTTCCTTTCTTCCTTTCTTTCTTTCTTCCTTCCTTCCTTCCTTCCTTCTTTTTCCCAGAGTTTATCTGTGTAACAGTCCTGGCTGTCCTGGAACTTGCTCTGTAGACCAGGCTGGCCTCGAACTCATAGAGATCCACCTGACTCTGCCTCTGGAGTGCTGGGATTAAAGGCGTGCGCCACCAGTGGCTGGCATCTTTTATTTCTTGACGACATCATGCCTTGAATTTAGGCTCTTCCTGTTTCTACTTCCCCATAATCTAGGGTGATGGCCTGTGAGGCCAAGCCTGCTACGGTGTTTCCCCAGTGCCCAGCCCGGCACATGGTATTCAATCACTCTGCGATGAATCCACCAAGGCATCAAGGAACACAGCCACGCAGCAATCAGCAAATGAAATCCATATGGTCACCACATGCCCACTGCGATTCCTGTCTGTGCTCTAAGAGACAGCAGCTGTTGAGGGACAGCAATTGCAGGTGTCTCCTAGGGAAATATAATTAAATTTCTGGATACTCAGGGGCTGGCCAATGAAAGAACAGCCCCAGGAGAGAGCTGGTCTCCATTCATTATCAATTAGGAGACATCGATTCCTCATTATCTGGGGCAGGCCCTGTCTCCCTCCTTCACCCCAGAGGAATGGAATCTTCTCTCTCCTGGGAGTCCTGCCTCAGTGGGCCCATTAACAAGCTGAGAATAAGATTAAATGATGCCTAAATGCCAGAGGTGTGTATGGATGGGCATCTGGTGGGGCCTTGGATGTCTGGGTTGGGTGGCACAGCCGATTTTCTCATACGCTGAGCGTCACGAAGAGTGAGAGACCAGGAAACACACGGGTTTCAGAAACCCTGTCCCATATTTCTTTTTCTTTTCTTCTTTTTTTATTTTTTGGTATTTCAAGACAGGGTTTCTCTATGTATCCCTGGCTGTCCTGGAACTAGCTCTGTAGACCAGGCTGGTCTCAAGAGCACAGAGATCTGCCTACCTCTGCCTCCCGAGTGCTGGATTAAAGGCGTGTGCCACCATCGCCCAGCTTATCCTACATTTCTTGTACTCACCCCAAATTTACCCTTTAGAGTGGAGCCCTCAGGGCTCTGGGAGAGGACACTGCCTTGACTAGCTTTTGTCTGCTTGGGACGAGGGCACTTCAGCTAAGAAAATACCTGCACCAGGGTGCCTCACGCTTCTTTCCTTGATATTGAGCAGCGTGGGAGGGGTCACCGGGCAGGCTGGATAAAAAAGACAGGCTGAGCAAGCCCCAGGAATGGGGCCATAGGCTGCTCCCTCCATGGCCTCTGCACCAGCTCCTGCCTCAAGTCCCCCTCCATGATAGACTCTTCCCTGTGTGCCAAGCGAACTCTCTCTTCCCCAAGTTGCTTTTGCTCTTTGTCTCAGCAACTCTATGACAACTGGCTTTTCTGTTGTCTCTCAGTAGGGTTTCTATTGCTGTGAAGGGACCTCACGACCATGGCAACTCCTATAAGGACACATTTAATTGAGGTGGTGGCTTACAGTCCATTGTCATCATGGTGGAGAGCATGACAGCTCCAACAAGGCCACACCTCCTAATAGTGCTACTCCCTTTGGGGGCCATTTTCCTTCAAACCATAACAAGACAGGGTTTCTCTGTATTGTTTTGGAGGCTGTCCTGGAACTCACTCTGTAGACCAGGCAGGCGGATCACAGAGATCCGCCTGCCTCTGCCTCCCGAGTGCTGGGATTTAAAGGCGTGCGCCACCAACACCCAGCAGCAAGATAGCTTAGTGGGTATCAGACAACATTTGGGGCCAACACCAAGCCTGGGGACCTGAGTTTGATTCCTAGGATCCACTTGGTGGGAAATAAGACCAGACTCTCCCCCTCTGCACGTGAACGCTAGCGAGAGTTCCAGGGAAGGGGCTGCAGAGACGGCTCAGCAGTTAAGAGCACCGGCCGGCCGCTCTTCCTGAGGACCCGGCTTTGACTCACAGCACCCACATGCCAGTTCCAGGGTTCTGATGCCCCCCCTGCCATCAGCACCTGGCACACACTTAGAACAAAGACACACATGCTGGCAGTAGTAGATGAAAAAGTAGTATCGGTGAAGGATGGTAACCCCAGGACCCTCCACGTTTGTGAACAGTGAGTTCCAGGCTGGCCGGGGATCCGCCCTGTGCCATCCTTCCTTCCCTGCAGCTGTGTGAGGGAGGGAAACAGCTCTCCTCAGACCATGTCTTGATGGCTTCCTGTGTAGTTTGAGGGAGACTCCTGGTATGTACTTGCGTGGATCTGCGTGTGTGTGTGTGTGTGTGTGTGTGTGTGTGTGTGTGTGTGTGTGTTCTGAGATGTACTCGTGTGCTGGAGTATTTGCTCATGTGTGTAATGCATGTGGGGGTCAGAGGTCAACACTGGCGGTCAGACCTCAGGTACCGTTCAACTTTTGATTTCCGTTATTTACCTTCTGAGTGTGCATGTGCAAGTCCCTCTCCTTGTGGGACTCAATTCTGTATGTTTGCCACGTGGGTCCTGGGGATTGAACTCAGATCATCAGGCTTGGTGGCAAGCTCCCCCTACTGACTGAGCCATATCACTGGCCCCTCTCTCACTTGAGACAATATCTCATTCCATAGCGCAGGGAGACCTGGAACTCAAGACAGTCCTCCTGCCTTGGTCGGCCACGTGTTGACTTTACAGACAGGAGCCACCATATCTGGCTTTTCCATTCTCTTACAAAGCAGTAAGTTTCCCAAAGATCTGGGAAGATATAAAGGTGAAGGCCAGCCTGGGCTACATGGTGATACCCTCAAACCATTGGGTCTCCTAAGAACCTCACTACAGACCTGGGAACAACACAGCTCCTTTTTGTTGTTCTCTGCTCCAGTGGGGGGGGTGCAGACCTCATGTCCGAGGGCCTGGAGTGAGAACTCCTTGCAGTTTCTCCCTGCTTCTCTAGCTCACTGGGTAGGGCTCCATCTGTGACCTCACCAGGCACATGGAGTGGGGGATGGGATCTGCCACATGCCTGCTTCTTTTTTAACTAAATGTCAGTTGTTTGATTTTTATCAATAAAGCCTCGGGAGCCAGATGCTGGGTGAAAGTCTGCTAGGTCAGAAAAGCAGTGAAAGAACCCAGCTGACCCTCCTCCTCCTCCTCCTCCATCCCAGGAAAGACTCCCTTTCTCTTTCAGCGTCACAAAGAAGCCCTCAAACGGAATGTCCCTCCCCTCTTCCTGTGTGTCCTTCTCTCCATCCTCCTGACTCCCTCTTATTCTGTTTTTTTTTTCTTCTTGTTCATTTCCTGTCAACTGCTTGCATGCTCTGCCTCTGAACCTATGGTTGATTTCATTTAATCCTATTTACAATATCCAAGCAGAAAACTTTTGGATTAAAGGTGTTTGGTAGGGTTAAGCCACACCACAACCAGAAACAGGTTTTTCCAGTAAATAAAGCAAACTTAGGGTTCACAGTGTGATCAAATATCCTACATTGGTCATTGGTGTCACTAAAGGCAGAGATAGGCTGGCTAAGGAGAGTGAGGCAGCTTCTGAGAGTTGGGGGAGTTGTCCTTGTTTATGTCCATTTATGTGGATTTAGGAAGACATCAGTTGTCAGGACTCTATGGTCTCCCCAGGCTTTTGACCGGGTTTGTAGGAAAGCAGGCATCAAACCTGATCAGAGTTGATTGTTTGCCCCTGACAGTTGTACCACAGCTACCGCAGCAGAGCATCTGCCCACCGGGACCCCCCTGCAGCCTTCAGGGTCCAGGGAGTGTGAGTGCCCTCATGCGCAGGGTCAGAGGACAATGTGCAGGGATGGGCTCCGTCCTTCTCCAGTGTGGGTGCCCTCATGCGCAGGGTCAGAGGACAATGTGCAGGGATGGGCTCCGTCCTTCTCCAGTGTGGGTGCCCTCATGCGCAGGGTCAGAGGACAATGTGCAGGGATGGGCTCCGTCCTTCTCCAGTGTGGGTGCCCTCATGCGCAGGGTCAGAGGACAATGTGCAGGGATGGGCTCCGTCCTTCTCCAGTGTGGGTGCCCTCATGCGCAGGGTCAGAGGACAATGTGCAGGGATGGGCTCCGTCCTTCTCCAGTGTGGGTCCTCTGCAGCAAGCACTTTCACCCACTGAGCAATTTTGTTGGCCCCAAACTCTTTTTAAGCGTATATTTGCCAGATATAATGGCACACGCCTTTGATCCCAACACATGGGAAGCAGAGGCAGGCAGATCTTTGAGTTTGAGGCCACCATGTCAGGCAATTTAAGCCAATTTAAATGACAATTACCAGCCAATATCACATTCACAGTGTCCTCGGACCATCACTGTAAGACCTCGGCATCAAAGCGGCGGGCACCGAACCGAATCCTCTGCCCAAGGACGGTGCCAGACCACTGGATGCAAATGCAAGAGGCGATTTATTGGGTACACAGGCGCTTCTGGATGCTACTGCAACTCGGGTGCAGAGCATCCTGGGCTTGTAGGGAGTATACTATTTATGGAGTTTTAATGGTTACATAAGTATCAGCATAGCAACAGGTATTTCATTGGCTACTTAAGCATGGGCTGAGATCATCTTGGGGGCATGGGTAGTTGCCAAGGACTAGGTTTCCTACATGAAAGACCCCGGCATGCTTCAGCAATTAGTATCCGGGTCTCATGATTGCTATAGTGATCAGACACAATTGGGGGCCAGGGTAGTTGCCAAGGACTAGGTTTTCTAGTATTGTCATATGAAAGTTACCAGCACGCTTCAGCAATTATTATCCGGGTCCCATGATTGCTATAGTGATCAGAGACATCCTGTTTTGAGGGTGAGACACCTAGTCTGGGTTTTTCCACTAGGCAATGGCTTGGCTTTGTTTTTCTTTTCCTAGGGGAGGCCCTGGGTAGGGGTCTTTCAATCACTACATCCAAATCCCAAAACCTTCCGTTACCCTAAAGAAACCCAGTCCCCCAAGCAGTTATCCTATACCATTCCTAGAAGCAGGAGTGTATTCCCACCTCAGTTCCAGCACCCACAAGTCCACTTCCGTCCTCTGGATCCCCCGGTCCACGCTGTGTGAAATCCTGCCTCACTGAGCACAGTGTCTGTTCATGATTGAATAATGCCTCATTGCTTGAGAACACTGTCTTTGAAAACACGTATTTTCACTTTACACTGGTGTTGGGGAGGGTTCGTGCACATGACTTCGGTGCCCTCAGAGGCCAGTGCTCTAACTGCTGGGCTGTCTCTAACCTGAAGGCCTGGGAGCAGGCTGAGGCCCAGAGAGGTAACGCATGGGGTCCAGGGAGAGCTCAGCCGGAAGGAGGCCGCTGGGATCCATGCAGCTCGGCCCAGTCCGACCAGGGTTTTTGATACTTGATGGCAGTCTGGTGTCCCTGGCATCACGGTCTGTGTTGTTTGTTGACATACAGTCTCTCCATGTTGCCCAGGCTGGGTCCTCAGCTTCTGGGATGAGGGGATTATGAATCGGTCATGAAGTCTGACTTTCCCAAGCAAGCACGTGTCACACAGATGTGAGCAGAGCCTTGAGGTGGTGACTCCCCCCTGACACCTGGTACCCCGAAGGTCTCTGCTTGGAATCTGCCGCATCCTGGAATTTTATTTGGGAGACAGAAGTTAGGACTCAGAAGTCCAATGACATCTCCCCACCTCCCCACCCCGGCCCCCCCAATCCTTGCTCAGCAACCACAGAGATCACCTCCCCGCGGAGGTGGGAGCTGCCCAGAGAGCCTTGATTACTTCCTGCTCCTTAATGGGTCCTTCAGAACCGAGTGGTTTTGGTTTCCATGGCAACAAGCAGGCAGCAGCAAAAGGGAAGAGGCTTCCCGAGCTTTCACCCCTTCCAATAAATGCTTCTGGCAGCCAGTCTCTCCATAGCTAAACCTGAGGACCATAGAGACGCCTACCAGAGACCAGAGAGACACACCTGTAAGAGGGTGCCGCTTCCTAGCCCTGTGCACAGTGGGAACGTGACCCTGGTCAACACGGCTGAAGGAAACGCAGAGAAACTGCGTGTGACTCTGAATGTGATCAGGGCTGGAGCTCCACCTAGAATCCCACAGTGAGGGGCTGGGGCGTGGCTCTGTGGAAAATAAGCCTGTTTACAGAATTGACACGGCTTTCCTGGGTCTGTGATCATTGAGGCTGTTGCCCCCTGCTGTCCACTGTGGGAAGTGCAGCCACCTTTGGACTGTTAGCTCACGTTGAGAGGAGCCCGGTTCATTCCAAGGTCCCAACTCGATGTCCACCAAGTGCTGTTGTTCCCGGAGCTGGACCTTGCGCAACCCACCTGTAATTTTAGTTCTTGGCAGTTCCAGCCCAGTGCTGGAGATAATAGGCGTGGGCCCACGTCCTAGTGTTCCTAAACACGCTGGCATCAACACTGACTTTTTCTCCTGGCTACTCTGATCACGTTTTCTGAGTTTCTCTGTCTCCTCCCGGCTGCTAGTGCAGAGCCTGCTCGTCCTCCTATAATTTCCAACCTCTGTCTGATTCACAACTGGCCTCGATGTAAATACTGTCCATGACTGTCCTGCCATAACCTCTATGGACGAAATACATAGGCAGAGAATACATCTGCCGGTGTGGTGTCTCTGCCCTCAATTTCATCATTCAGGAGGCAGAGGCAAGTGGATCTTTGTGAGTTCAAGACCAGCCTGGGCTACATTGTAACACTCTGTTTAAAGCAAAAAGCAAAAACTGAGAGCAGTGGAGGCTATGTACCTGTCCAGATTCAATATAGTTTTATATGAAAATGTTTTCATGCTTGCACGGCACACATGTATGTGCCATAGTAACCACGTGGGGATCAGGGAGCAAACACGCTGCAGGACTTTGTGTCCTTCCACCATGTGGGTTCTGGGGGTCAAAATCAGGCCATGCTTTGGCAGGAAGCACTTTCACCCCTAAGCACTCTCCAGAACAGACACAATTTTTCATTTGAGACAGAGTCTTGCTGTGTACCCCAGGCTAGCCTGATCATCACATCCCTGCCTCATTCCCCTCCCCCTTCCCTGCTGGGATGACAGGTGCCCATGATGATGGCAGGCTAAACACAATTTAAAAAGATTTAATAATCTAAAGTTGTTAGCTGTAGGCAGGGTTTTCCTGACCCAACCACCTGTCCCCAACAACCAACACAGAGATTTAGGATTACTCAGGCTTGTTGCTAACTAGCTCTTATTTCTTTGTTTCTTTTTTTTTTTTTTTTTTTTTTTTTGAGCTTTGGAGGCTGTCCTGGAACTCTGTAGACCAGGCTGGCCTCGAACTCACAGAGATCCGCCTGCCTCTGCCTCCCGAGTGCTGGGATTAAAGGCGTGCTAATTTAATCCATTTCTATTAATCTGTGCGCTGCCTCAGGCTCACGGATTCCATCTGGATCCCATTTTGTTTTGTCGACTTGCTCTCCATCTGGCTGGTGACCCCTGACTCCCTGCCCTCGTTCTCAGTGTCTCAGTGTGGCTCTCTGACTCTACCCAGTCACTTGCTTATCACACCGATCATAGTGACATATATTCACACTGCACAGGATCGTTCCATGGCAAATAGCCAGGTGTGTGGCGCACACTTAATCCCTGCACTCGGGAGGCAGAGGCAGGCGGATCTCTGTGAGTTCGAGGCCAGCCTGGTCTACAGAGTGAGTTCCAGGACAGCCTCCAAAACAATACAGAGAAACCCTGTCTCGAAAAACCAAAAAAAAAAAAAAAAAAAAAACCAAAAAAACCAAAAAAAAAAAAAAAACCCAAAACTACATAATGTGTCGGAGAAGCGGTTCGTGGCAAGCACTTGCCTAGTACCTGCAGAGGCCCTGGGGTCCACTCCCAGCACCATGAGAACAATCAGTGTTTGTCCGTTGCACTTTTTTCAATCTCCCATAGGCCTCCTCCCCCTCCCTCTCTCTCTCTCCGTCCCTCTCCCTATGTCCTGGCTGCCATCACCCAGCTTCTAAGCGCCTTTCCTCCCTCATATCTATCAGTAAAAATTTACAGAATGAGCAAACCCACCCCGTTCTTGGCTTGGCTACCCTGGCGTTTATCATTTTCTCTGCTTTCTACATGTTAGAGAGACCTGGCAGCGCCCCAACAGTCTCCTGGTGAGCTGGCTCACGGCTAATCCCACCCACTGGGGAGCGCCTGGCAGGTGGCGTGCCCGCGCGTGGCTGCAGATGTCTGCCGCGGAGGAGACGGAGAGAACAGGAACAGACTCAGGATGCACACAAGGGCAGAGCATGGCTGCCACTGGGTCTCCTGGTGGCTGGTGCCCTGGAGGGTCACATGGACGGACAACCCTTGGAAGTAAGCTCTCACCCTCCGTCACGCTGAGCGACAGGCGCGGTGGCTCAGCAGGGACGCACCGGGCCGCAGGGGGCCTCAGAGGACACGGCGCCCTCGTGGCTGACATACGTGCTCCTTTAAAAAAGAAAACACTGCCGGGCGTTGGTGGCACACGCCTTTAATCCCAGCACTCGGGAGGCAGAGGCAGGCGGATCTTTGTGAGTTCGAGACCAGCCTGGTCTATAAGAGCTAGTTCCAGGACAGCCTCCAAAGCCACAGAGAAACCCTGTCTCGAAAAAAAAAACAAAAAAAAAAAAAAGAAAGAAAACACTGCCTAACGAGAAAACGGGACTGCTTAACGCGTTCCCAAAAGCGCTCGGAGCGAGTGGGGAGCCCTTGTCTGCCCCCGACGCCCGGCGCGCGCCCTCTGCTGGCCAGCGGCTTCTCCACACCCAGGTTTCCCGGCGCCCGCTCGGGAGCCACGCCCAGGTTTCACGTCGCTCCGGATGGGCTCCGAGACATGTCCGGGGCCCGCTGGGAAATGTAGTCAGAAGAGCCCGAGCTAACCATGCAAAACCGGAGTGCGTCCCACGACGCTGGCCAGCGGGGCGCGCCCAATGCCGCCAACTCGCTTATATTTCGCCGCGGATGGCCCAAGGCCCTCTGGGAAATGTAGTCCCTTTTCGACGGACGGCCTGTTTCCCGGCGCGCTCTGCGGCAGCAACAATAAGGACGTCACCATCCGCGGCGTACACCTTTACATGATGGGAATTGTAGTCTTTCCACGGCTACCTCCAGCTCCGATGCGCCGGGCCCCGTCGCCTTCTGGGAACACCTATCTTTCCCAGAGTCGCGCTCCCCAGTGCCCGTCTAGCCTTGCGTGGCAGGACTTCCGCCCCCACGCTCCGTGACCGGAAACGCAGCGGAAACGCCCGCGCCTCCTGTGGGCGTAAAGACGGCGACGGGAATATGCCATTAGATTTTCCAGGCTGCTTGACACCGCCACGCTTCTTGCGGACGGTCCTGGGGGATGCCCTCTGTATAATCTTCGCCGGCGACAGTAGCCGGAAGCACATCATCAAATTCCTCAGGGTCACACACTGGAGCTGTCCTTTGGGGGCTGGAGCGAGAACGTGATTCCTGCAGTCCACCTTACGCTCGGTAACGGGACCGCACTGACCCTTGGCCTCGCCTGGCGGAAGTTGCCGTCCTTCCGTCGGTACTGCCCACCGCTTTGGCCCCCGTTGCCTTTCGGGAAATGTAGTCTTTCCTCCGCTCCGCGCCGATACGGGGATCGTCTGGCGGGCGATGGCTCTCAGGACTCCATTTCCCGGCGTGCCGGCGCACAGTCCGCCCGCTCCCCGGTCGCAGAGGCCATTTTGTTCCGCCCAGAGGCCGCTGAGATGGCGGCGGGGGAGAAGGTGAAGGTTGTCTCCGGCGACCGGCGGCCCGGCTAGACCCGGCGGCGTGGCGTGCAGCATGGACCTGCACACAGCCGTGTACAATGCGGCGCACGACGGCAAGCTGCAGCTGTTGCAGAAGCTGCTGTCCGGCCGCGGGCGGGAGGAGCTGGACGAGCTGCTGGGCGAGGTGGCCGGCGGCGGCACGCCGCTGCTGATAGCTGCGCGCCGCGGGCACCTGGACGTGGTGGAGTTCCTGGTGGACCACTGCGGCGCCAGCGTGGAGGCGGGCGGCTCGGTGCACTTCGATGGCGAGACCATCGAGGGCGCGCCGCCGCTCTGGGCCGCGTCGGCAGCCGGCCACCTGCCCGTGGTGCGCAGCCTGCTGCGCCGGGGCGCCTCGGTCAACCGCACCACACGCACCAACTCCACGCCGCTGCGCGCCGCCTGCTTCGACGGCCACCTGGATGTGGTGCGCTACCTGGTGGGCGAGCACAAGGCCGACCTGGAGGTGGCCAACCGCCACGGCCACACGTGCCTCATGATCTCGTGCTACAAGGGCCACCGGGAGATCGCGCGCTACCTGCTGGAGCGTGGGGCGCAGGTGAACCGGCGCAGCGCCAAGGGCAACACGGCGCTGCACGACTGTGCCGAGTCCGGCAGCCTGGAAATCCTGCAGCTGCTGCTGGGCTGTCACGCGCGCATGGAGCGCGACGGCTATGGTATGACCCCGCTGCTGGCCGCCAGCGTCACCGGGCACACCAACATTGTGGAGTACCTCATCCAGGAGCAGCCTGGCCACGGGCAGCTCCCAGGGCCGGAGCTGTCCGGGGAAGGCGCTCCTCAGGGGTCACCAAGTGCCTGTTCCACCCCGGAGGAAGCAGAACCGTGTGAGAGTTGTTGTCCCACGAGCCGGGAGGCGGCTGTGGAGGCTTTGGAGCTGCTGGGAGCCACTTACGTGGATAAGAAGAGGGATCTGCTTGGAGCCCTGAAGCACTGGAGAAGGGCGATGGAACTCCGCCACCAGGGTGGGGACTACCTCCCCAAGCCCCAGCCCCAACAGCTGGTTCTGGCTTACGACTATTCCCGGGAGGTGACCACGCCCCAAGAGCTGGAGGCCCTCATCACAGATCCTGACGAGATGCGGATGCAGGCCCTGCTGATACGGGAGAGGATCCTGGGCCCCTCGCACCCCGACACTTCCTACTATATAAGGTACCGGGGTGCTGTGTATGCGGACTCTGGAAATTTCGAGCGCTGTATCCGTCTGTGGAAGTATGCCTTGGACATGCAGCAGAGCAACCTGGAGCCCCTGAGCCCCATGACTGCCAGCAGCTTCCTGTCGTTTGCAGAGCTCTTCTCCTACGTGCTGCAGGACTGCTCAGCCAAGGGCAACCTGGGCATGCAGCTCGGCTTCCCTGACCTCATGGGTGTGCTCAGCAAAGGGGTAAGGGAAGTGGAGCGGGCTCTGCAGCTGCCCAAGGAGCCGGGCGACTCTGCGCAGTTCACCAAAGCCATCGCCATCATCCTCCACCTGCTGTATCTGCTGGAGAAGGTGGAGTGTACCCCCAGCCAGGAGCACCTCAAGCACCAGACAGTCTACCGCCTGCTCAAGTGCGCCCCACGCGGCAAGAACGGCTTCACCCCATTGCACATGGCCGTGGACAAGGAGACCACCAATGTGGGCCGCTACCGCGTGGGCGCCTTCCCCTCGCTGCACGTGGTCAAGGTGCTGCTGGACTGCGGGGCCGACCCCGACAGCCGGGACTTCGACAACAACACCCCACTGCACATCGCTGCCCAAAACAACTGCCCGGCCATCATGGATGCGCTCATCGAAGCTGGGGCCCACATGGATGCCACCAATGCCTTCAAGAAGACAGCCTATGAGCTGCTGGACACGAAGCTGCTGGCCAAGAGCACCGTGCAGCCCTTCAACTATGTGACTCTGCAGTGTCTGGCCGCCCGCGCCCTGGACAGGAACAAGGTCCCTTATAAGGGCTTCATCCCAGAGGAGCTGGAGGCCTTCATCCAGCTGCACTGAGCCCGACGGCCACCGGTGTGCACTTAGTCTTCTCCAAGCCTGTCCTCTTGGCCTGTGGGCAATGAGGGTCAGCGGAGTGGGCCCCGCTGTTGGTTCTAGAAACCTTCAGAGTCACACAGTAGGAAGATGGTCTCTCTCCATGACAATGCAAAAGGGTACCGGGACCTCCCCAGTGGCATCTGTCTGGGTCTGGAGGGCTCTGCCCTGCCACCCAGCCCAGAACTAGCTTGCCCTGGAGTCCTGTCACCCGCCACTGTCAAGATGGAGTCGAAGTCTTTGGTCCCTTCCTGCGGTGGGACACCCGCCCTAGCACTTGCCACCTAGATGTTTGCAGTTGGTTTGTTGTTTACTAAGTAAGTGGGCAACAGCTTGGAGCCCACGTTCTGATGTTTTTGCTGTCTTTTCACCTTGGTCCTGTTTTTTGGACTCACTAATGACTTAGTTTGAAGTTGCCAGTACTCTGTGGTGGCCACAGCCGAGAGCAGCATGAGCTGTGTGTGAATGCAGATCTGTGACCGACGCTCTGGAAGCCTCCTCACTCCTGTGCTGGTTAGAGAAAGAACTGTCCCCAGGGATCAGAGCAAGTGACAGCAGCAGCCCGGCACACATCGCCTCCAGCCACACCCTGCTTGGATTGACAGGTTCCCAACTTCAGGCTGCAGCTGTGAGGACTGGCAGGCAGGTGGTCCAGCCACTAGGTTCATCCCTGTCTCTCCTTCCCCGAGGACCTGACCCCAGGTCGTCATGAGGAGTCCATAGTATCCCCAGTAACTGCCCAGAGTGGGCTTCTGACTAAGATAGGTAAGGTAAGGGGACTGCAGCCCCAGCACAAAAAACTACCTGAGCAGCACCAACCTGTGACCCCACCAGCTCTTGTCCCTGTCACTTATGGTAAGTGGGATTAAACCTGGGTCACACCAAGGCAGGGGGTGCGTATCCCCAGCCTGTGGGAAGCAGCTGCAAAAGGAGAAAGTCTAGTCTAGAGATGCCAGTCCCTCACTTGGCCATTGAAGCCACATAGCAGTCCCGTGAGGACATCGGTGTGTGATTGCAGTGGTAGCTTGTTTCTGTACAAAACAAGTCTTAGGCCTTACTGGGCAGAGCCTCACTGCCCCACCCTGCTGACGAGGCTCAGGGCACACGACCCCTTCGAGTCTTGGCACTGGTATTTATGGATTAAATGAGGTATGTGAAGAAAGCTGCCTAGCTGTTACTTGACGTGGGTAGGTCGAGGGTTGGACGCAAGAAGAGTGCTCGTCGAGCAGGCATGGCGGCACAGCTGCCGTCTCAGCACTGCTGAGGCTGAGGCAGGAGGATCACAAGTTGGAGGCCATCCTGGAGTACAAAGTGAGTCCAGGCATATCCTGGGGTAACAGAATATTTCAAGACCCCTCCCCTCTGAAAACCCTCTCCTCTGAGGTGTGATACTGGTAGCCTTTACTGAACCCCGTTGCACCCCATGCTCAGATGTACTGACTGCTTCACAGCAGCTGCCTTCTGATGCAGCTGTTTACCTTCAGGGTTCTAAGCAAGTTCAGGGAGATGAGAGGAGGCCAGACTCCAGCCCTCCAGATCCATTCCCCTGCCTCAGCACCCTGAGCATCTGTCTCATGTGGCCTGGCTCTGCTGAACATTCCCCTGAGAGAGGGTCCAGGCTCATTGGCTCCCTCCGTCTGGGTTCTCCTTGGTGGGAGTAGTAGGATCAAACATTTCCTGCAAACCTCTTAGCCTTAATTTATGGTGCCTGTAATTGAACAGGCCTGTGTCACTTTTATACCCCTCAGCCAATCACAACAGCCTGTGAGTCAGCTGCAGTGATTGGTTAAGAAGTAGACTGGAGGCCAAGCAGTGGTGGAGCACGCCTTTAATCCCAGCACTCGGGAGGCAGAGGCAGGCGGATCTCTGTGAGTTCGAGGCCAGCCTGGTCTACAGAGCGAGTTCCAGGACAGCCTCCAAAGCCATACAGAGAAACCCTGTCTGGAAAAACCTAAAGAAAAGAAAGACTTAAGTCAGGGTGTGGTGGTGCATGCCTTTAATTTGAGCACTCAGATGTCGGAAGCAGGTGAATCTCTAAGTTCAAAGTCAGGCTATCCCAAGATAGCCATAGCTACCAGACAGACTCCCCCCCAAAGCAAGACAGATTAATGCAGGAGGAGATGACTCAGTGGGTGAGTGCCTGCTATCTGTGAGACTCCAGTCACCCCCTCAAAACACACCACTATTGGTGGGTGGGCAGATAGACTGGGAACGGGAGGGGAACCCCACCCCCAGCATGGGGGTGTCAGTCACAGGTGGGAGACATGCCCCCTCCTGGTACCACGTCCACCCCGTTCTGGCTGAGGTCACAACAGACTAGTGTTGGCCTCTGTCTGGAGTGTTCTCCCGTCTGTTGATATGCATCAGGGCAGCAGCACACACTGTCCCTGTGGGCCACACCAGTATCTGCTATTTCTAGGTAGGGAGCATCCCCGCCCCAGGTTAAACATAGCCAGTGCATAACCATGTCACTAGGCTCTCAGCCAGCTGCACAGGGCCCAAGAGGATGACGGGTGATGAGCACAGCAGGTGTGGGCCAGAGGGGCTGGAGATGTCTCTCCCCAGTGCAGGGGCTCCCGACCCTCAGCCTGTTCAAAGCCTGTCGGGAAGTCAGCCGAACCAGGTGCTACCACGCGCCTTCAGTCCCAGCACTCGGGAGGCAGGACAGCCGCGGCTGCAGTGAGGCCCTTTCTCAGAGAGAGAAATGCAAACCCCAAGTGAGCTTGATAGAGCCTGACCTGAGAAGCCTTCCTAATCAGCCCCTGGGTCTCGGCCGGCCTTGCAGGCAGGCTCTCTCCTTCCCACTGCTGCTGGCTCTTTAAGTTATGTGTGTTTGGGGGCCATGCATGTGAGTGCAGTCTGCAGAGGTTTTGGTCCACCTGGAGCCATCACCAGTCCTTTGCTGTTAGCCTTTGTAGGCTGGTCTTGAACCCTGATCCTCTGCCTCCTCTTAGTGCTGGGATGACAGGCATGTGCCATCGTGCTCATTTTGCAAAACTAACTGTTCTCACATGTACACAGCAGTGTTTTTTAGGGTATGCTCAGGGGTGCACAGCCATTGGTCCTCCCATAAGTTGATTTTCAGGCATGGGGTGTGGTCAGCAGTAACTGTGGGTGGAGCACTGGGATCCTTGCCCCCCCAGCACCAAGAGAAATACATTTTTTTTTTCTGAGACAGGGTTTCTCTTTATTGTTTTGGAGGCTATCCTGGAACTCGCTCTGTAGACCAGGCTGGCCTCGAACTCACAGAGATCCGCCTGCCTCTGCCTTCTGAGTGCTGGGATTAAAGGTGTGTGCCACCAACACCCGGCTGAGAAATACTTTTTAAAAACTGAAGAAGAACAAGGGCTTGAGCTGGAGAGGTGGCTCAGAGGTTAAGAGTACTGACTGCTCCTCCAGAGGATTTGAGTTCAATTCCCAGCAACCACAGGGTGGCTCACAGCCATCTGTAATGGATCCGGTGCCCTTTTCTGGTGTGCAGGCAAACATGCAGGCAGAACACTCTACATAATAAAAAGTCTTTAGAAAGTGGGGGAGGAGGGCTCGGTGGTGGCAGATTGGTGGGATGAGGGGGGTGGGAGTGGTAAGCCAAATCTCCAGGGAGAAGAAAACCCCTTCTCACTTCCCTGGGAATCAAGCCACATTCCAGAGCTGCTAAAGGCCTGGGCCACAGGACAGGCTAAAAATAACAGCCCCACCCTGGCATCTGGCAGGAAATTGACCCAGGTAGGAGACTGCCCTCTTTGGGTGCCCATCTCAAGGCAGAAAAACAGCATTGAATCTCACCTTGAAGTCTTGGACATTGACGCCATTCTCTCTGTGCCTCAGTTTCCCAGGTTGCAAATTCGGAAGGAACATTGTGCCCCTCCAGGAAAGGCATCTTGATGACTGCTATTGCTTCTTTGTCCCAGGGCTGTGAGCCCAGGGTGCTGCCTTGGGTGCCCCACGTTGGGAAGTTCTGACATGGCAGTGTTACTGCAGTGCTTCCCATCCCTTCATGTGCCATAACTGTCACGTAACGCGCCATGTAGCTGAAGCTGACCTTGAATTTTTATATGTTATTATATATTTTATTATATATCTTTTTTAAGTTTCTCAAGACAGGATTTGTGTAACCAATCATGGTTATCCTGGAATTTGCTTTGTAGACCAGGGTGGCCTCAAACTCAGAGATCTACCTACCTCTGCCTTCCAAGAACTGGGATGAAAGGTATGTGCCACCAGTGCCTGCTTTTAAAATTTTCTTAATACTTTATTAACTATTTTATGTGCATTGGTGTGAGGGTGTCAGATCCCCTGTAACTGGAGTCATGAACAGTTTGGAGCTGCCATGTGGGTTCTGGGAGTTGAGCCTTGGTCCTCTGGAAAAGCAGTCAGTCCTCTTAACCACTGAGTCATCTCCCCAGCCCTGACCTTGAACTCCTGATCTACTGGGGGAGGACACACCAGCTGCCCTGGGATGCTCAGACTCCACATGGTCTCCCCACTGTGACCTGCATCCCCAGGGGGACTCTGCTCGCCAGTTCCTACCGTACCCTCAGCATCCTCCTCACTGGTGAGGAGCTCACAAAGCTAGAAGCAGGAGCCACAGAAGCATCAGGAGATGCTCAACTCATATTTCAACATATGATGAGTGGATGAAGACTGAACAAGACCTACCAGCCAGCAGGAAGGGAGCAGGGACCAGCATGAAATCTGAAGTCAAGATGGACCAAGGTGGAGCTGAGCAGCACTCGGAAGGCAGACGGTCACTGAGCCTGACCAGAGGATGGGATATCGTGGGCAGGGGATGACAGAAATGTGTCTGTCCCCAATAGCTAATGTGTGGTGATGAGAACACGAGGAAGATCGGGGTCTCACTACGCGGCCCAGGCTGGTCTGGAGTAAGTTTTAGGATTTAACTGGAAGGGATTTTGTTGAGGTAAGGCCTCTCAAGTGCTGAGGTGGCCAGCATGAGCTCCTGGCCTGGGTTAAATGGCTGTGGTCTGAACTGAGTTTGGAGTATGGTGAATGTCAGCAGTACAGCTTATGCAAGGGCCTTAGGTTGGATCCCCAGTGCCAGAAATAATACTTTGTGTGTGTGTATCTTTGTGTGTGCATATATGTTGTGTATGTGTCTCTGTGTTGTACATGTGTCTGTATATGTGTATGTTGGGTGTGTGTGTGTGTGTGTGTTATGGTCCTGTATGGAGGTTAGGGAACAACTCTGGAGACCTGGTTGTCACTTTCCACCATGTGGTGCCTGGGATTACATATAGGTTGGCAGGCTTGGCCACAAGTGTCTGCTGTCTGCGCCCTCTAGTGGCTGAGGCTGGTTTTGAGCTGGTCTCACTGACCTACAGCACAGGTTTGCTGAGATGAACCGTCCAGGAACCTGGGAGTCCTCTTGCCTCTGCCTCCCTAGTGCTGGGATCATAAGTGCACACTAGTTGTCTTACTCATGGTCTAGGGTCAAACTCAAGTCCTGTTGTGCAGCAAGCACTTTACCCACTGAACATTTCCGCAGCCCTAGAGTAAGGGCTTTTAAATCAAGTGGCCAGAAAAGCCCCAGTAGCCTGGTGGTGGTGGTTGTGTTAGCAGCAGTGGCGGTGCATGCCTTTAATCCCAGCACTGGGGAGGCAGAGGCAGGCGGATCTCTGTGAGTTTGAGGCCAGCCTGGTCTACAGAGTGAGTTCCAGGACAGCCTCCAAAGCTACACAGAGAAAACCTGTCTCGAAAAAAAAAACAAAGCAAAAGAGCCCTGGGTTTGGGTAATTTTTTAAACTTACTTTTATGGGTGTTTAGCTCGTATGTATGTCTTTTGCTAGTCTGGTGTCCACAGGGGCCAGAAAAGGGTGTTGGATCCCCTGGAGTTTACAGATAGTTGTGAGTCTCCACTTCAGTGCCTTGAGCTGAACACAGGTCCTCTGCAAGAGCACCCATGCTCTAACCACAGAGCCGTCCGTCGCTCTAGTCCTGAGAGCTCAGAATTGAGCCAAATCCTGAGGGAGCCATGGAGGAATTTAGGGAGCGAGCTTTCCAGCCAGAGTCACAAAGGTCTTGCTTAGAGGACAGTAGCTGGAAGAGAAACTGCAGGTGAAAGAGAAGGATGAGAGGGCCTGCCCCCTGCACAAGGTCCCAGCAACCTGCAGCAGTGAAACCCCTGCCGCTTGCATGGGGAGGGAGGGAGGGAGGGGACAGCATCACCCAGGGCTGCATTGAAGTCCTTTCTGGAACAGAACCTGTAGGAACCCATTGAGCCTGTCTTGGACTATCATCACCTTCCAGAAAGTTCTACTCGGTGTGGGCAGAAGCCAGGAGGGCCTTGCCAGGTGGCACAACTTCCTCCTTTCGGTTCCCTGAAGAGGGCTCACAAGGCTAGTTGGAACCAGGTCATGATAACCTTGGATTCAGCCCAGCAGTGTGCTCCAGACCCAGGAAGTGGGGTTGCCAGATAACTTCTAGAACATGCTGCTCCCTGGCTAACCCCAGCCATCTACAAACCCAAGACCTCTCTGCTGCCTGTGTGGGGCACACACCCAAAGTCGCCAAGCCTCACCACCTGGGTTTGAGCCCCAGGACCCAATGGAAGGAGAAATTGTCTTTCCATTGTAAACTGTCCTCTGACTTCCACACTGGTTCTCACACAAAAGAAATGGGAAAACACTATCACATTGTCTGTCCCGTCAAACCCCAGCGACACATATGTCTGGTGACTCTGTTGCAAGACATGACTCTCTGGGCTTGGGAGAAAACATTTGTAAAACAAACAACAAAAATCCCTTAGTATCCAGCATGAATCCCAGGAGGCAGAGCAGATGAATCTCTGAGTTCAAGGCCAGCCTGGTCTACAGGACAACCAGGACTTCTAAGTGAGACCCAGCCTGCCCTGCTCTCCTCCCCCAATAAAGGTCAGAAAGGATTGTGAACAGAGCCAGCCTTCTGAATTCCCAGCTGGCCAGGGACACACCCTGCTGAGGCTGCTACCAGGGACATCAGAGAATGTCCAGCCATGATTCTAACTCCTGAGACTTCCTTCTTGCAGAAACTTCCTTTAATCCACCCACCCACCAGCTCTTGGCCCATCACAGCCTGAGGCTGTCCATACAGTAGCTTTCCCATGCCCCAGTGCCCAGCCCAGGTCTGCACACAGTGGGCACTAAATAATGACTCAGAAGAATTCATGTAGGGTTGGAGCTGTGGCTCAGGTAGAGCACTTGCCTGGCACCACAAATACATTTAAAAAGGAAACGCGTTAAAAACATTGAGGTTTTTTACTTGAGACGGGGTCTCCCACAGCCCAGGCTGACCTCAAACTTGTTAAGTAGCCAAGGATGATTCAATTCTTGATCTTCCTTCAGCCTCCCAAGTGCCAGGGTGGTTAAATTACGTTCCTTGATTTAATGTGGGTGTGTGCAACTGTGGTGGTCAGTTTGCAGGAGTCGGGTCTCCCCGCCCACCATGTGGGTCCCGGCAAGGGGACTCTGGCCACGAGGCTGCACGACAAACACCTCTACCATCTGAGCCACCTCTCGTACCCCCAATCCAGTGGAAATGAGTTGATGGCCGCTGTCTGCCCTAGCCTCCCTGCGCCCCTCCCCCAGTCTTCCTGCTACACCTCTAACGTGCTGGGCTCTGTGCTGCCCCAGGGGCTGTGTTGTCTACTCGCTGCTCAGGACAGGCTGTCACCTCCCTGCTCATTCCAAGTCCCTTCCAGCTTTCCCAGGTCCCCCTGCTTGCTTTACTGAGGCCTCCTTTGACGCCTCACCCTAGATCCACCCCCCCACCCCCGCCTTCCCAGCCACCCCTCGCCCCACACACCATGGTTCCGAGGACCTCGTTTACATACCCCACCCCCAGAATCTCAGAACTGTGCTGCCTGGGTTTCACTTCAGGTCTGCCAGGCACAGGACTGCTCTGACTAGGTCTGACTCAGAGACTAAAACAGAAAGCGAGAGTGACTCACTCCCTCCTGCAGTGTAAGACAGGGTCTGGAACAGCCTGCAGACTTGCCTGTTTGTGGGATGAGCCCAGCGGTCCTTGGAAGTCTGGCTTTCGTACATTAAGCTCCCCTGAATTCTGTTTGTTTGTTTGTTTGTTTGTTTTCCGAGACAGGGTTTCTCTGTGACTTTGGAGGCTGTCCTGGTACTAGCTCTTGTAGACCAGGCTGGTCTCAAACTCACAGAGATCCACCTGCCTCTGCCTCCCGAGTGCTGGCATTAAAGGCGTGCGCCACCAACGCGCGGCAAGCTCCCCTAAATTCTAACTTGAGTCATGCTGAGGGCCATAATTGACGTTGGGCCTCAGTTTTCCCCATCTGTAAATGAATCCACATTTCGCAGAGGCTTGTTTGGAAGGTTGAGATGTCTGGGCACATTAAAGTCTCTTTTGGACTTTCGAGACAGGATTTCTCTGTGTAGCCCTGGCTGTCCTGGAACTCGCTTTATAGACTAGGCTGACCTTGTACTCACATCTGCCTGCTTCTGCCTCCCAAGTGCCCTACCACCACCTGGCTCATCCAGGACCATGTGGAGAGCACTTGTCTCAAACGAAACCCAATAAATAAAAGAGTGGGGGAAACAGTATAAATGAAGAAAATAAGAAAGGAGCTGTAGCCGGGCGTTGGTGGCACACGCCTTTAATGCCAGCACTCGGGAGGCAGAGGCAGGCGGATCTCTGTGAGTTCGAGACCAGCCTGGACTACCAATCGAGTTCCAGGACAGCCTCCAAAGCCACAGAGAAACCCTGTCTCGAAAAACCAAAAAAAAATATATTTTTTTTTTCGTTGGCTGGCTGGTGGTGGCGCACTCCTTTAATCCCAGCACTTGAGAGGCAGAAGCAGACAGCAGACAGATCTCTGTGAGTTGAGGACAGCCTGGTCTACAGAGCCAGTTTCTGACAGCCAGGGACACAGAGAAACCCTATCTCGAAAAACCAAAAAAAAAAAAAAAAGTTTTTCATTGCTACTTCATTTCAGGAATTTCTCTACTGATATGAATAGTAATGTAAATACCTCTGTTTTCTGATGATCTCAGGTGACCCTTTAAAAAAGGTGATTGGGCTCCAAATGGGTCCCAGACCACAGGTTGTAACTGTAGTTCCACGGACCCTCTTGGTGCAGGCCCTCTTCTGGTGTGCATACATGCATAAAACAAGTATATACTTTAAATACATAAGTAAATAAATATTTTTTTTTGTTTTTGAGACAGGGTTTCTCTGTATTGTTTTGGGGGCTGTTGGTCCAGCCCGGCCTCGAACTCACAGAGATCCGCCTGCCTCTGCCTCCCGAGTGCTGGGATTAAAGGTGTGCGCCACCACCGCCCGGCCCTAAATAAAATATTTTAAAAATTAAAAGAGCACTTACTGCTCTTGCCGAGGATCCGGGTTTGGTTTCCAGCACCCACATCAAGGGGCTGGCAGAGGGTCGGAGATGCAAAGTTGCACAGCATTGGCTGAACCTCCTCATGCACTCACACTCCAAAGAAAACCCCGCTGTAGCTAAATCTGCCAATGTAAGTGTTTAAAAAAAAGAAAAAACTTTTAATGTGCCTGGATGGGCTTGACATGTCTATCCCAGGGACCCACGTGGAGAAGGAGGACCCGCTCAAACAGGTTGTCGTATGATCACCACACGTGCCTGGCACACACACACACATATAAATAAATAAATTCACGAAAGCAACACCGCCAGAAACTTCCCCAGTGTCTTTTTTCTCCTTTCCTAACCTTACAAGGCTTCCTGTTATGGCAACCCAAAAAAAACTACGTTTCCCAGAGGCCCTTGCAGCAGAAGCCCACGTGATTCGCGGTGTCCAATAGGATGAGAATGCATCCACAGATTCCGGTTCCTGCCATTGAGGGAGTCGGATGGCGCTCCTATTCTATTTCAGTCTTGGCGGAGCTGAGTCTTTCCTGTGGACGGTGGCGGGTGGGGACGCTGGCTCGTGACTCAGCCGTCATTAGCTTTATTATAAAGACCGAGCCCTCTCCATTGCCCCAGCCCCACAACCTCCCCAGAGACAGCACGTGCCACAGTGAATGAAGGTCACATGGCCGCTGGGGGCACCTTGGAGGAGCCTATGGCTCCATCGCGGTCTGTCCACCTACAGGATGTGGGTTGGGGTCCCAGAGTCCTGTCCAATATTCAGTAGGGTCCTGGATGTTTACAGGCGAGGTCTTCCTGGCCTCTGGGGTCCAATTCATGGCCACTGTGTGGGCCCAGGCAAAGTTCCCTCTGCCACTGTCACTTTAGGGACCCAGGTGAAGTCCAACTTGGCCACTCTAGCAGTCTAGGTTGGGCTCAGCCCGGTCACTTTAGCCAAGTGGGCTCCAACATGATCACTCTGGAGTCTCAAGCTGGGGTCCCCCCTGGTCACTAGGAGGGCCCAGGCAGGAATCCTCTAGACACTCAGTTTTGTCATGAGTCGCCTGGGCCCCTGTCTGGCCCCACATGTGGTTGTTGACCCCCAGCTGAACCATCTGGGCATGATGAATAATGAGAGGTCCTGGAGTCTGGGTGGCTGCAGAGGAGGCAGGTGGGAAGTGTGGGGGCTGCGGGGAAGAGACTGGAGGCTGCGGGAAAGACGGAGGCTGCGGGGAAGAGACTGCAGGCTGCGGGAAAGACGGAGGCTGCGGGAAAATCGGAGGCTGCGGGAAAGAGACTGAAGGCTGCGGGAAATAGGGAGAAACTGGGGTACTACCCTGCCATAGATGTGAAGGTGTTGGCTGTGGACATCCCAGCCAATTGGGGAAGGATGTAGGGGCCGCCAGTGACAAGTCCTTCCCGAAGGCCATCCGCAGGCTGTCCATCTGTGCCTGCCAGGCGCTGTAGCTGTGGACATAGGTTGAGTAGGCGGCAGACATGGCAGCCACCCTTTGCCGATCAGCCTCCAGCTGTGCGCTCTGCGCCTTGAGGGCTCTGGTCTCCTGCTCTTTCTTCCAGCGTATCCGGTGTGCCTGGAGTTTCTGTGGCTTGAAGGTGTTTGCCACCTTCCTGGCAAAGATAGGGGAGTGTTCATCCAGCCACACAAGGCTGTGGAGCAAGCTGGTCGTGTTGGGGCTGAGCTGAGCCTGGGAGCACTCCAGTGGGAGGAGGGGGATCACACAGTCCTGCCTTCCCGACTGCGTGAGGCTGTTCATAAGGGCATGGTTGACTTGGTGCAGGCTCAGGCGACAATCAAAGTTGGTGGTCAGGAGGAGGATAGTATACCCTGAGTGGTTGATGGCATCTTGGAGACAATGCAGCTCCCCACGCCCAGGCACCTGAAATTCCTCACAGAAGGTGGCCCCATCGGGTACCCCAAGGGTCTCTAGCTTCTCCCGGATACGTAGGGCCACGTGCTCATCAGCCCTGGCATGGATGACCACAAAGTTATAGAACTTCTGCTCAGATGTTTCCAAGTGGTCCACAATAGGGGACATGGAGGCTGGGGGAGCAGGGCAGTTGCCGGGGAAGGGCGTGGAGGCCTGAGGGGAAGGAGGCCGTGTAGGGGAGGTCTGGGGGGACCGTGGCTGGGCAGAGCGGCTGCACGTGGTGGTCTGCAGACTGCCATCTCCTACAGAGCCCGGAGGTGACATCTGATGTGTGGTAGACGGCTGCTTTCTGATGCCTTCCGTGGTGGCTGGCAGGAGAGGCTGGGAGCCTGTAGACACCTCTGTGCATTCAACCGGGCAGTGGACGCTCGTGTCTGGAGCAGCCAGAGAGTCAGGGAGGATGGCCGAAGCCACCTCAGGGGACACCTCTGGGTCCCCAGTTCTGTGTGGTGACCCCAAGGGGACGCTGGCCTCCACTGACAGGGGCCAGCTCCCTTCCTCGGGTTCTTGGCAGCCTGCAGGGACAAGCTGAGGCTCAGGGGAGGCGGGGAGTGTCTCACAGAGCTTGCTGGGCCCATGGGTTCCACGGTGTGGACAGAGGAAGGGCAGGGTGGGTGACTGGCTGATTTCCAGGTGGCTAGCCAGTGAAGCGACGCTGCTGGTGGAGTGGAGGGAATGTCCCTGGCTCCAGTCTGAGGTGTCGATGGGTAGAGGCTGGCTTCTGGTTACTGAGGGGGATGCTGAAGAAGGCGGCAGGCAACCCTGGTCAGAATGGAGTGGCTGGAAGCCACAGTGGTCCCCGGTGATGTCTGAACTGCAATGATCCTGGGCCTCCTTCTGGAGTTGGCCCAGCAAGTGGCTACCCTGGGGGGCGAGGTCATGGAGGGCCTCCCGGTAAGCCATGTCCCTTGCGGAAGCAGGACACAGGTTCTCCTCGGTCAGCAGGTGGTACAGGCGAGCCACGGACCAGGACACATCTGGGCGCTCCTCAGAGCAGTCTGTGCTGTCCACCCCTGTCCACTGGCGGGCCACCAGCTGCGCCACCGGGTCCGCCTTCAAGGACTCCAAAGAGGTCCTGGCCTCAGTGTTCTGGCCCAGAACCAGGAGCACCATGGCGTGAAGAAGCTTGGACTCCTGACTGCCTGGATCCAGACTCCCCAGCTTGTCTTTCAGGCGGACCAGCCTGTCCCTTCCCACGGCTCTTAGAATGTCTAAGGCGCCATGGAGTGATGGGCCCGGGTTGGCCATGGATGAGGAAGGGTGAAGCCTGGAGCCACAGAGGCTGGGGCGGGTGGAGACATGTTCTGGACCGGCAGCCTCCGGCACTGTGTGTCCCCTGCTGCAGGAGGTCCCCGAGGGCGGTGCAGCCGACCTGTGGAATTGGTAGTTTACCGTGACTTTCCAAACAAGACAGCAGAGGCAGGGGGATCTCTGTGAGCTCCAAGGCTCCATAGGGAGATGCCTCTAAATCAGCAGGAGGGCTGGGCACGGGGAAGAGCACTGGCCAAGCATTGGCAGAGCTCCATGTTTCACGCCCAGCGCTGCATGAGCCAGGTGTGGTAAGGGAGTGGACGAGTGGGTGCGTGGGTGTGTGGACTGGTATAAAGTTCCTAGGGACTTACAGGACACTCGCAGTGGCCCTCAGCTGGGAGGGCCACCTTGTCACTCACCCCAGCTCTCCGTTCACAGCTGAGAAGACCTCGGAGCCTGTCAGTCCTGGGGCCCCTGACACTTGTCCTCCCTCGGTAGCCAGGCTGGGATGGGGCTCACCCTTGGCCCACCCCAGAGTCACCTGCTGACCTCTCAGGAGGGACAGGTGTGACTGCTGTGACCAGAAGACCTGGCATGGAGTGGGTGGAGGCTGGGGACGCTTCTCAGCGCCTGCAGGGCCCACAACGCCTCACAGAGAATGTCCTGGCCACGTACATGTCTGGGATGTCCAAGAGGGACCCTGGTCTAGACCAGCAGTCAACATGTCAGTCAGTTAACCCACAGACTTTGCACACAGAAGACCAAAAAGCCCTTCAAAGACCGGACATGAAGCAGCAGAGGTGGGCTGGGCAGAGGGCCCAGGTCAAGGAAGCTAGGTAGGCAGAGGGAGGTGCCTAATGACCATAACAGGTGGGGGCGGGGACGGCAGATGGCAGACCAGGAAAATGGCAAAAAGGCTGGAAAGAGCAGAAGAGGCAGGGCCACCGCCCTCTCTATGGCTGCTGGGAAATGGAGGCAGTTAGGTGTGAAAGTGTAGACAGGGGGGAGAAAGAAACAGAGCTGTCAGTCAGAGAGAGGAGCGATGTACACACCCACATCTAGGGTGTCTATCCCTGCCCTCGTGTCCCTCCTCCCCCGACACCTGTGCAGTCTCTTCGTTCGCTGAACGTCCCCCACGCAGGAGTGTCTGTGGGAGACGCTGCCCACGGAAAGGGGCACACCACACACGGGCATCAAGCAGAGCGGCAGGATGTGACCAAAAAAGTCACCTACGATCATTTCGAGAAATAAAAGTGCCATGGAGGAAATGAACCTGAGACAGAACCTGGGGTGGGGGTGCCCTGGGGAGGGCATGCCCGAGCTGCGCCCCTGAAGGAGACGAGCTAGTCCAGACAGCCCCTTTGGAGAGCACTGTGAGTACAGAGGTCCCGGGTACGGAGTTCAGCCCGGCTTGCTGGAGTGGGCAGTAGGCCAGATTAGAGGAAGGCGGGGCCAGGGTGGCTTTGACCTTGAGCGAGGTGGGAGCCCTGGAGGGCTGTGGGTGGAAGCTCCCTGTGCTGTGGGGAGGGTGGGGGGTGGGGGGACACCAGCCAGGGGAGACAGCGTCAAGAGTTGACCAGGACTTGTCCCTCTTCCCTCTGTGCTCGCTATGCTGTCAGCTACATGCACCCACTCTCCTACGTCAGGGCCTTTGCATGGATATCCCTCTAGGGGCACACGCCCTCAGGGCGGCGCCCTTTCCAGCAGGGTGGCGCCCTCTCCAGCAGGGCAGCTCTTATACCCACCTGCCTGAGTTTTCTCTCAAGTTCTCACGACCTCCTACTGAGTTTTACTTCATGTCCCACTCTAGACACGCACCTGGGACCTGGCAGGAGCTGGGCTCGGGTACAACTGTCTAGTTCCTAGGACCCAGAGTGCCTGACGTATAGTAGGTACATAATACATGCTGACTGAGGGCTAGAAGATGACTCGGTGGGTACGGACGCTTGGTGTTGCCAGGCTGGATGATTTAAGTCCAGTCCCGGACCCATGTAGTAGAAGGAAGACAGAGCAAGTTAAAATAAAATGCATAAATGAACAAACTGCTGGGCCTTTTTAATCCCAGCACTCGGGATGCAGAGGCAGGTGGATCTCTGTGAGTTCGAGGCCAGCCTGGTCTACAGAGTGAGTTCCAGCACAACCAGGGCTACACAGAGAAACCCTGTCTCAAACAACAACAGTACTAAATAAAATAAGCATTCACTGGAGGAAAGAAATCAACACATGACCAGGCTGGTACCTGGTACACAGTAAGTGCTTAAAAAGTGCTTCCTGAGGACTGGAAATGCGCCTGATTGGACAGAGTGCCTATCTGACTTCAACTCCCAGTGCCAGGAAAAGAGAGTGGGGGCAGAGAGGGAGAGAGACACACAGAGAGGCTAGGGAAATGTCTATTGACACTGCTAAGCAAAGAACAGGCAAAATATAGCAAGGTGCACAGTATTGCGTTTTATTTGCTTGGTTTTTGTTGTTGTTGAGACAGGGTCTCATAGGTCATACAGGCCTTGTACTATGTAGCCCAGGATAACCCTGAACTTCTGATCTTCCTGCCTTTACTACTTTTTTTTTTTGGTTTTACAAGACAGGGTTTCTCTGTATTGTTTTGGAAGCTGTTGGTCCAGCCTGGCCTCGAACTCACAGAGATCTGCCTGCCTCTGCCTCCCGAGTGCTGGGATTAAAGGTGTGCGCCACCACTGCCTGGCCCTGCCTTTACTTCTTTTGTTGTTTTTTTTTTGTTGTTGTTGTTGTTGTTTTTTTGGTTTTTTGAGACAGGGTTTCTCTGTATTGTTTTGGAGACTGTCCTGGAACTAGCTCTGTAGACCAGGCTGGCCTCGAACTCACAGAGATCCTCCTGCCTCTACCTCCCGAGTGCTGGGATTAAAGGCGTGCGCCACCAACGCCCAGCTTTTTTTTTTAATTTTTTTTTTTTTTTTACCAGACAGGTTTCTCTGTTTTGGAGGCTGTCGGTCTAACCTGGCCTCGAACTCACAGAGATCTGCCTGCCTCTGCCTCCCGAGTGCTGGGATTAAAGGCGTGCGCCACCAACGCCCGGCCTGCCTTTACTTCTTAAGGGTGTCTGTTTTCTCTTCTCCAAGCTACCTGAAAAGCTAAGGCAGGAGGATTTTTCTCTCTCTTCTCTCTCCCTCTCTCATTTTTGGAGACAGGGTTTCTCTATGTAGGCCTGGCTCTCCTGGAACTCACTGTAGCCCAGGCTGGCCTTGAACTCACAAAGATCTACCTGCCTCTGCCTCCCCTAGTGCTGGGATTAAAGACATGCAGCACCTTCGTCCAGCCGGGAGGATTTCTTGAAACCAAGAAATCAGGGCCAGTCTAAGTGAGTTCCAGGCCGGCCTGGTCTTGTCTCCAGATACAAATAAATAGTATAAATGGCATAAAAAATAAAATATTTAAGAGAGGGGTGGAGGCACTCAGTGGATGGAGCTCTTATTTAGCATGCAAGAGACCCTGGACTCCATTCCTAGCATGAACCAAGACGGGTGGATGGGTGGGTGGGTGGGTGGGTGGATGGGTGGATGGTTGGGTGGGTGAATGGGACTTCCTTTCTTTCTTGCCTGGCTTCCCTCTGACAGACCTGACAATCTCTTGTGGCACAGGGTACCTTTCCTCCAGTCTCTGGTGACTGTCAGCTCTGGGACTCAGGGACTGAGTGCTTCCAGGGAACCTGAATGGTTCCCGGGCTGAGCCTGCATGTACCCAGGGCCAGCTGGCTACGGAAGCTTCACCAGGCCAGTCCAACACCTGCAAGACTGGTGCCTGTGTTAGTCTGGGGATAGAGGCTTTGACAGGAGACACCGAGGTAGAGAAAGCACTCTGATCAGGAAATAGAGACCAGGAGAGGAGAGGGATTGGGGGTGGGGAGGGTGGGGGTCCGCTGTTGTGCCTGGAGGAGACCTGTGTGCTGGAAGATCTGGGAATTCGGGGGGGCACTGAGGGCTGAGCAAGCACCCAGGATCATAGGACTGGGCTGGGGGGGTCAGGAAATGGGCTTCGGATCTGAGTGTCCACGGGAAAAGGCTTGAAGCAGAACGGGCTGCAGGTGGAGGCCCAGCGTGCCACTCAGGCTGTCTGGGGCCTTTCTGGCCCTGCACCTGCTGTCCCCTCTGCCTTCCTCCTACCTGGCCGTGGGGTCCCGGGCTGGTGGATCTCAGGGTCCCTGGTGGCCGCTGGAGAAGGAGGAGGGAGAAGAGGAGGGAACAGTTCCACCCCTTCCGTGTGGGGGAGGAGCAGATGAAGTCAGCTGTGTCCCGCCCCAGAGGGGAAAGTCCCCAGGGCGCCCCGGACCTGCCCCTGCCCTCCGCCCAGCGCCGTGGTGCCACGTGGAACAAGGCAGGGCTCTCATTGTGTGGGGCCAAGGCAGGGGAAAGAGAAACCCCCACCCCCAGAGCCCTCACTAGTGACACACTCTGTGGGGATTTGCAAAGCACCATGTGGCTAAGTTCACAGAATCCTGGTGACTTATGCCTTTCGGTCCAGCACACTGGAAGCCGAGGCAGGCCCTGAGCTCCAAGCTAGCCTGGCCTACACAGTGAGACCTCCATCTCAAAAATAAATTAATATGCCGGGCAGTGGTGGCGCACGCCTTTCATCCCAGCATTCCGGAGGCAGAGGCAGGTAGACCTCTGAGTTCAAGGCCAGACTGGTCTACAGAGCGAGTGCCAGGATAGGCTTCAAAGCTACACAGAGAAACCCTGTCTGGAAAAAAAAAAAAGCAAAGAAAAGAAAGAAAAAGAACCTTTGTATGTACATGATGCTATCCTGTAACTTTGGGCTATCATCCTGGCTCAGCCTCCCAGATGGTTAGATTACAGGCAAGTTTTATAACTGGTGAAACTGAATTGTGTAAACAGAAAAGCAGAAGCAATTTACAGGGGTCACTGACTAGGAAGTGGTATGTGTAAATGAGGCAAACACCCCTGGGTGGGAGATTCTAGGAGAGGGGTAGTTGTACCCCGACCACGCCCCCAGCCTCTGACTGAGTGGCCCCACCCCCTCCCTCAGCCCCTCACTGGGGAATTCTAGGTGGGGCTCCATCATTGACTCTCACCCCCAAAACCCTCACTGGGGGATTCTAGGCTCCTGTCACTGAACATGATGTCTCCACAGCTCTCCATGATGTTGGAGTTGGTATTAGGACAGCCCTGTTTTCCTTACGTACATGACAAGTTTGTGAAACCCAGGGAGGATTGGCATCAGGCATCTTTTTTGGTCACATCCCAAGCACATTACCACGGGACCATCTCTCCTGCTCTTGAGTTTTGCTGTTTTGAGCCAGGGTCTCATGTAGCCCAGGCTAGCTTCAAACTAACTGCGTAGCCAAGGATGAACTTGAACTCCTAGTCCTCCTGTCTCTAGGTCAAGGAGGTCAGACATGGACATGTTTGGCAGGTGCTGCGCTGACCCTCCCCTACACCTCACAGAAACTGCAGGGGGGACGGGGGACAGCAGGTCCCTCCTGCTCCTCTGCCAGGGAGGCTCAACAGCTGGGAAAAGAACAAACACACCATCAGCCTGGTCTCTGATGCACGCAAAATTTATTAAAGCAATAACGAACCCCAGGAAACTGGAGAAACACTGGACACTCAGCCTTTAGCCACTTTCTCATCTGAAATGATTTCCACGTCCCTGCTGTCCACCCTGTCACGGAGGCCGGCTTCTTGGACCAGGTATCTGGGTCTGTTAGGAAAGCACTTGCTATTGTAGGCCACGACATAGTAAAGGCACTGGAATGGAATATCACCGTGGCCTGATGTATGTCAAGACAAGGTCTTACCTAGCTTAGGCTATCACTGAATTTGCTATGCAGCATCTGGCTTTGAATTCTTGCATAGGATGACAGGCATGTGCCATGTTACCCTGATTTTTTTTTAAGCAAAAAATTATTCTAGAACATTCTAGAAATTTTTTCCCAGGAACATTCTAGAACATTTTTTTTCTGCTTTAAAAGACTGACAGGAAGAGACTGAATACTTCTTCAGACTCAGGGGAGGTGAGGACTTGGTGTACAACAGGACTTTTGGGAAAAGCAGACCGGAGTTAGCTGCTAGCCCTGCCCATCCCTACTTCTTCTCCTCTTCCATGGGTTTCTCAGTGATTCCAGGAGCAAAGGGACCAACCAGCCAGGTGACCGGAGTGTTCTGAGCCACATACTCTACAGTGTGGTCAAGGGCCTCCCGGGCTCTGCCTATGCGCTCCCGAGCCTGGGCAAGAACACCCGCTGTGAGGTCTTGGAAGGAATGGATGCCAGAGAAAGTGGCCTGAAGGTCCTCGACCTGGCTGCGGGCCTGCTGGGCCTGCTCCCTGACGTGGCCAGGCAGGCCCTGGATGCTGGCCCCCATGGCCGCACACGTGCTTTGCAGCTGCTGGGTGATGTCCCTGAACATGCCGAGTGCCTGGGCCTCCACCTGCTGGAAGGAGAGAGTGGGGTGGGGTGAGGGCCAACAGGGGGACAGCCCAGTGTGAGAGACAGGGATCCGGCTCCCCTCAGGCTCCTATAACCAGGGAGACACTGGAAGATGCCCAGAATCTAGACTCATTGAACACAAAACGAGGGGACAGAAGCCAAACAGCAAAAATTAAAAAAACAGTTGGGCAGTGGTACACGCCTTTAATCCCAGTACTTGGGAGGCAGAGGCAGGCAGATCTCTGTGAGTTCAAGACCAGCCTGGTCTACAGAGCCAATTCCAGGACAGGCTCCAATGCTACACAGAGAAACCCTGTCTTGAAAAACCAAACAAAGAAAAAAAATACAAACTCCACATCAAATCACAAAGTGGACATTAAGAGGCGAGATGTGGTGGCCGTACAGTTGTGATCTCAAAACCAAACAAAACAACCCTCCGTAGTAATACCAAAAATACAAAAATTAAAAACCAAAGCCAAAATGTTGGGCATTGGTGGTGCATGCCTTTAATCTCAGCGCTCGGGAGGCAGAGGAAGGCGGATCTCTGTGAGTTCCGGGCCAACCTGGGCTACAGAGAGAGTTCCAGGACAGCCACTGCTACATAGTGAGGCCCTGTCTTGAGAAACCAAGGGGGGGGGGAAAGCCAAGACAAACGGAATCTTATAAAGCCCGGATTCTGTGGTCACCCCGGGACAGGAGGCATGGTGTGCAGGGGGCAGGGTATGCAGATGGGCACGGGATCCCAGTGCCCAGTAGGTACCTCTGGTTTAGCTGGGTCCTTTTCTGCATCTTGGGGCTTCTTCTGGTTCCAGCTGAGCCACATCTGGTGCAGCTTCTCCTGCCCCTCCTCCAGCCTCTGGTCCATGCCCTGTTTCACGGATTCCATCTGCAGCCCAGAGAAAGGGGTGGGGTTGTATCAAAGGGCACACGCATCTGTCCCAGCCAGTCGGGGGCAACAGGAACAGGGATGCTCTTCATTTACATTTCTTTTCTAGGTAGCCTGGAATTCACTACATAGACCAGACTGGCCTCTGCTGGGGTGAGAGGCATGCGCCAAGGGGTCCCACACCTTTATTTTTCCCCTTGGGCAATGCTGAGGATGGACCCTGCCCCACCAGCAACCACTGCCAGTCAGTTTCACACAGAGTAAGATGGAATAGTGCCTTAGCTGGCCTTGGGACCCAGCGACCAGGACCCCTAACCAGCTAGGATGAGAAAGAAGCCCGTGTCCTGCCCCACACACCCTGGAACAGTCTAGATAATCACACTGGATTCACTATCAAACTCTGCAACTCCTCTCACAAGGTTGTACAATGAATTTGTCTGGCCGTGCACTTTGTTACACAGCCTGAGCTGACTCATACACCGTGGTATATGAAGCCAGCCCAGGGAAACTAGCCTAGCCCACCTGCTATCAGGTGGGATCCCAGCTCATGAAGGGAGCAAAGCTGCAGGGAGGCGGCCCCAGCCCTGGCCACACCCCGGAGTCTCACCAGGCTGAGGGCATGCATGAGCTGCTGCAGCCCCTCATGGGCATTCTGCCTGGCTTTGCACAGCTTGCCCAGTGAGTGCTCATAGGCGTGGTTGCGCAGCCGTTCTGACAGAGAGCCCAGTCGAACGAAGTAGTTCTGTTCCTGTCTCTGCTGCTGCAGCGAGGCAATGTCCAAGCCCTCTGGGGACGTGGCGATCAGGGCTGTGGGCACAGAGGGAGAGAGTGCTCAGGCTCACACTGCCCGGTGCATGTCCTGTGTCGGGGGTTGAGAACCCGAGGCAGGAGGCTTGCAGGTCTCTGGCAACCAGAGCTACAGGAGCTCCCATCTAGGAATAAAAAGCAAAACGAGGGCCGACGGTGTGATCAGTGGTAGAGCGGCTGTCTATAGGTTCATTCCCAGGACTAGGCCAGCACGATGGCTGGGCAGGCCGAGATGCTTGCTGCCCAGCCTGAGAAACAAAGTTCAACCTGTGGAAGTTGTGCTCTGGACGCTCGAAATACACTTGGCACAGGCATATCTCATGTGATTAAAATGAAATGCGTTTTCAAAAATTTGAAAAGCACAAGCGTGTAGGCCCAGCACCAGGGAGGAGTGTTGTGGAATAGAATATTCGTTTAACTATGTAGAAATGTGTTGCATTTGTTTGTGTTGCAGAAAATTGTTTAGCTATGTAAAGATGTGCTGCTGTTTCACCTCGCCTGCCTGAGGCACCTGACTGGTCTAATACAAAGCTGAACAGCCAATTGCTAGGCAGTAGCGGGACAGGCAGGGCTGGCAGGCAGAGAGAATAAGCAGGAGGAGGAATCAGGCTCAGGAGAGAAAGAGGGAGACTGCTGGGACAGCCAGCAGACACGAGGAAGCAGGAGAGTGGGACACACAGAGTGCAGGGAGGGAAAAAGCCCCAAGGCAAAACGCAGATGAAGAGGACCGGGTTAATGTAAGTTACAAGAGCTGGGGGACCAGCCTGAATGAAGGCGAGAATTCTTAATTAGTAATAAGCCTCCATGTTATGGTTTGGGGGCTGTTGGTCCACGAAAGCCTGCCACAGAGGAGGAGACAGGAGGATGGCCCTCAGGGCTCCCCTGGACAGCCAGCCCAGCCAAATCTGTGAGCCCCAGGTCTCAAAAAAAAAAAAAAAAAAACAAGGGGAAGAACGGCTTGGGCGGACAGAGGCAGACCTGTGGCCTTGGCACACGCACTCAGAGGCCTTTGTGCTTTTTTTTTTTTTTTGAGGCAGCATCTCACTCAAACTCATAGATGAGATGTACCCTGCCTCTGCCTGCTGGGATTAAAGGTGTGTGGGCTCACACTAGGCAAAATCCTATGTTTTCAAATCTCCCCTTCCCATTTCTCCTTACAGAGTGGATTTTTTTTTTTTGGCTACGTTTTGTCCAGGCCAGGCGGTTTGCAGCACTTCTCTTGGAAGCTGGGGGCTGCACCCGGGGAAGTGAAAGCAGCCTTGCGCTTTTAGCCAAGGCAAAGGCAGGAAGCCACGGGCAGAGAGTAGCGTGACGTGGGAAGGGACAGGCTTTGTGTCCCTGGGAGGCAGGCAGTTCAACTGGCCTGAACCGGGAGGGGTGGAAAAGGCTCAGACTGGCCCCCAACTCCTGGCTGTATTGGCCTCTTGAGCGCTGGGGCGACTGGGCTGTGCCACCATGCCTGGCTATGTTGTGCCGGGGACAGAACCCAGGGCCCCGTGTGTGCTAGCTGAGTGTTCAACCCACAGCCCCAGACTGAAGCCAATTCTTGTATTTTGAGACAGGGTTTTGCTACGTAGCCTATGCTGGCCTAGAACTTCTCCATCTTCCTGGCTCAGCCTCCCAAGTTCTGGGGTGACAGGTCAGGCCCCTTTGCTTGGGTTACAAAGCTAGCTCCAACAAGCTACCTGGCGTTACCCACAAGCCACCTGGGTCCTATAGGGCGCATGTCCTCACCGGGGATGCATCTGGGAGGGCAGTTGCTGAAACCAAGGCTGCTCAGACAGAAGCAGCCCCCGCAGAGCCTCTGGTTCCTGCTCATACATTGCGCCCACCTTCTCACAGGCTGTATTGGGATCTGCTGAGACGCAACTAGCTCTCCCCCACAGAGGATCACTGTTGGCTGGGAGTGAGTGCTGCTCTGGCTTTGCATGGCTATTAAAACCCATAGAGATGCAGGCTCGTGGCCAGCCAAGGAGGAACTGAGACCACTACGGAAGCCAGGGTGGTAGTGTGCGCCTGTCTCCCCAGCACTTGGGAGGCGGAGGCAGGGGGATCATCCTTGAACCAAGAAATGGCTCAGTAAGTAAAGGCTTGTTGTCAAGCCTGTCTGAGTTTGATTCCTAGAACCTATGTGGTGGACGGACAGAATCCCCCAGAGGACCCGGAGGGCTGTGGGCAGAGGAGGGTGGCAGCGGTGGGGAGGACCAAGCGTAGGCATTGAGGCCTGAGGGGCCAGGGAAGGACACTCACCCAGCTCTGCGTCCGTCAGGGGCAGGCGGTTGTCCGCCCAGGCCTCTGATTTTACCAGCATCGAGTCCACTCCGCTGATCACCATCTGTCCCACCCGGGAGCCCATGACTGACTGGACGCCGCTGGTCACCGCTGACTTGGTCATGTCCAGGCTGCTCTGCACAGCCCCCCGGGTCACATCCACTGCTCCGGCCACCCGGGTGGCCACTGTGTCCTTTGCACCGGTCACTGAGGTGGATACCATTTCTTTGGCTCCAGATACTGTAGATGACACCAGTTCCTTAGTGTCTGCTAGAACCTGCAGGACCAGACAGCTAGAGTTACAGGCAGTTGTAAACTATCTGAAACGGGTAATGGGAACCAAACTCGGGTCCTCTGGAAGAACAACAGACACTCTTGACCACTGAGCCGTATCTCTAGAACCTGCAGGACCAGACAGCTAGAGTTACAGGCAGTTGTAAACTATCTGAAACGGGTAATGGGAACCAAACTCGGGTCCTCTGGAAGAACAACAGACACTCTTGACCACTGAGCCGTATCTCTAGAACCTGCAGGACCAGACAGCTAGAGTTACAGGCAGTTGTAAACTATCTGAAACGGGTAATGGGAACCAAACTCGGGTCCTCTGGAAGAACAACAGACACTCTTGACCACTGAGCCGTATCTCTAGAACCTGCAGGACCAGACAGCTAGAGTTACAGGCAGTTGTAAACTATCTGAAACGGGTAATGGGAACCAAACTCGGGTCCTCTGGAAGAACAACAGACACTCTTGACCACTGAGCCGTATCTCTAGCTTCTTAGTTAGTTAGGTAAGTATCTTAAATTCTTTTTACATTTGTGTGTGTGTGGAGGTCAGATGACAACATGTAGGACTCCGTTCTCTCAGACCCTGCGGGTCCCGGGGACAGAACTCAGGTCCTCAGGCTTGCGTGTGATTGCCTTTACTCACTGAACTAACTTGATCCTATTTTTTATTGTTTAATTTTTTGACCCTATTTATTCTTGACGTAGGGTATCCCAGGCTGCCCCAACTCTAAATTCACTGTGTAGCTGCAGTTTATGTAATACATTTAAACTCCATGTTGGGCCCACGCTGGTCCCACGTGGCTCAAGAGGTAAAACCAACTCCCCATCACCTAGAACATGAAATACAGCTCAGTCCCTCCCAAAGCAAAGCCCAGAGCCACAGTACTGTCTCTGTCCCACGAATCAGGAGAATCTGACCCTGAAGTGCTCCCTTCAATCATGGGAGGGAGCACTGTGAAGGACACCTCTAAGCAGATCTGTGTCCAGAGAAAAAGTGCTGGAAATGATGGAGAGAGGGCTGTTGGGAGGTCTCCAGCTGCGACTACACCCAGATGTGGGGCCTCTGCCTCTGCAGAAGCAGAGACCTGTCCTATTGTTCTGGGATTGACACTATCCCTGGGCATGGCATGTTAGGAGGGGCCCAGCCCACAAGAACATGAGAACGGGCTGGAGAGATGGCTCAGAGGTTAAGAGCACTGACTGCTCTTCCAGAGGTCCTGAGTTCAATTCCCAGCAACCACATGGTGGCTCACAACCATCAGTAATGAGATCTGGTGCCCTCTTCTGGCCTGTGGACATACATGCAGGCAGAACACTGTATACATAACAAATAAATAAATCTAAAAAAAAAAGAACATGAGAACGAAGTGTGTCCCCTTCGGAAAGTACTTGATTCAGAGGTCAGATAGGAATGGGGGCTAGCTGAAGTCCTTGCCTAGAATTCCCAGTGAGGGGCTAGGGGAGTGGCCAGTGGCTACACAGAACATTCAAGCCAGCTTGGGCTATCTGAGAAAGACCCTGTCGCCGGGCGATGATGGTGCACACCTTTAATCCCAGCACTCAGGAGGCAGAGGCAGGCGGACCTCTGAGTTAAAAACTAGCCTGGTGTACAGAGTGAAGACCAGCCTGGTCTACAGAATGGGTTCTGGGACAGGCTCAAAAGATACACAGAGAAATCCTGTCTCGAAAGAACAAACAAACAAAAACAACACCCCCCCACAAAGAAAAAACTCATTTGGATTTGGTTAATGGACGGTCTGGAGATTAGAGGGCTGAGTTTCTGGTTCACTTAGGAATAGCTCATCAGAGGTTCTGGGGCAGGCCTCTAGTGGCTGCAACTGCTGTAGATGTGTCCCCTGTCTTCTTGGGTTTAGGTCCCTTCCCAAAGGCTTACAACTGTTTCCAAGGGTGTGTACCCCCATCTCCACCATGCATGGTGCCTGAGGGGTCAGACCAGATGACACTGAGTGCCCTTTGCTCTGGGTTCGGTGGGATCCAGATGGTATTCTGACTGGATGTGGCCAACCTTCAAGACCTTTCTGCCCAACGCGGGTGGGAACAGTGAGGCCTGTCATGTGTGTGTTGTGTAGAAAGCTTGGACATGGCAGGTCCAGGCGGGGCCTCAAGACAGAGTCAATTTGACCTAGCACTGACCTTCTCAGTTGGCTGTTGGAGGATGGGCAGGCTCTCCTGCAATCTGTCCAGCCCTCGGTGTGCGTACTCGCTGGCCGAAGCAACTGCAGGGCACCAGAGAAAACACGCCCACTGTTACTGCCCTTCAGAGGTGGGGAGAGCCACCCCGGGCCAGTTTCAGAGAGCTGGGGTTCAGAAGTGGGGTGACTCCCTCCAACGATGGCCACGAGAGGCATTCTCCACACCCCGGGGTCCTCAACTCACTCTGGGGCTCCAGCTTGGACAAGATGGGCTGTGCCCCACTGACCGCGGCCGCAGTGAGGGTCTTGACGCCCTTCTCCGCCGCATCACACACAGTCTTCACCCGGGGGTAGCGGTCCTTGGTGGCGGTGTAGGCTGCACTCACCATCTCACACGTGGAGCTGACAAGAGGCAGGCCGGCCACGCGGTCCACCACGCTGGGCTGCAGAGGGCAGGAGGCTGGGCTAGGAGCTCAGGGCACCCACAGGCCTGCTCTCATTTTGGGGGAGCAGGCCAGCAGGGCTCCATCACGCCTGGTAGGAACAACTTCCCAAGTTCTATCATGTGCTTCCGGTGCCTTACTTGTTTGAGGATCAGACTGGCCACCCAGTGAAGAGCCAGGCAGTGCCGTGACAAAGGAACCCCATTTTTGTTAGAGCACTGGTGTACCAGGGAACAGGCCCTATGTTCCATCCCCCAACCCTAAAAACCTGAGGCCCGTCACATGACGTCACTAAGCACAACTGAGCCTCAAGGGTTCTGTTATGACTATGGTATTCTGGGCTGCATAGTGAATTGGAGGCCAGCCTGGGCTAAATGACAGTCTCAGAGAGATGGGAGGCAGGGAAGCACAGAAGAGGAATTCAAAATCATAGTGAATTTGAGGCTAGCCTGTGCTACATGAGACCCTGTATTGCAAGCAGAGAAAGGATAAAAGGCCGGACCTAGGTGTTTGATCCCCAGCACTCAGAAGGCAGAGGTAGGGGCAATCTCTAAGTTCCACGATAGCCTGGGCTACACAGTGAGGCCCTGTCTCAAACTAAAAGGGAAGGAAGGAAGGAAAGGAGGGATGGAGGGAGGGAGGAAGGAAGGCCGACTTCCAGTCTTCTCTCCAGGCCGCCCCTCCTAGACCCCAGCAGTCTGCCACAGAGCACTCTCAGAAGTTGCAGGGCTCCCTGCAACCCAGGCCCCTCACCTGTGGGACAGGTTCCTCCACAGCAGTCTGGACTTCAGCAGGGGCATCTGTCCCATTGTCAGACATGGTCTCCACAGCAGGTACTTTGGGCAAAAGACACAGTCAAATGACAGCCTGCTCCACGGACACAGGAAGCAGATTTGATCTATGAACCTTCAGCCCTCTCAGAACCCCGTCATCGATTCAGAAGGTCCAAGGTGGGGCCTAGCTCACCATGGCTCCTTCCCAACCCCTGAGTCTTTGGTGCCAGAGAGTCAACCAGTGCCCCAGCACTCAGCAAAGCTTTACTGGACCACTTTCCCCAGCCCCTCACAGGGGGGTGCTCTACCCTGACCACACCCCCAACCTGTAACTTTAGAACTCCTAACTCCTGATGGTTGTGACAGGGTTCCTAGGCCCTTTTAACCCCAGCACTCAGGGGCAGAGGCAGGTGAATCTCTGTGAGTCCCAGGCTAGCCTGGTGTACAAAGCGAGATCCTGTCTCAAAAAAACCAAAAATAAATATGATAAATCTTACAAAGATTTATATTTTGGTTTTATGTGCATGCAGTAGTCAGAGCACAGGAGAGGGCCTCAGGTTCCCTGGGGCTGGAGTTAAGGGGTTTGAGGCACCTGAGTGCTTGCTGGTAACCGAACCTAGATCCCCTGAGGGGACAATAAGTGCCCTAACCACTGAGCCGTCTCTGTCTCTCCAGCCTGATTTTATCTTTACATAGATGTTAGAAGATTGGGAAATGGACAGACTAAGGACAGACTAAGTTTCGGACAGAAGATGGGGGTAGAGACCAGGTCCCTGAATTTTAGGCCAGGTAAGTAAGATCACCTATTCAAAAACCAGGGCTGGGGCTGGAGAGATGGCTCAGAGGTTAAAAGCACTGACTGCTCTTCTAGGGGTCCTGAGTTCAATTCCCAGCAACCACATGGTGGCTCACAACCATCTACAATTCAATCTGGTGCCCTCTTCTGGAATGGAGGCAGAACACTGTATATGTAATTAAAAAAAAAAAAAAACCAGTGAGTTCGAGACCAGCCTGGTCTACCGAGCGAGTTCCAGGACAGCCTCCAAAGCCACAGGGAAACCCTGTCTCGAAAAACCAAAAAAAAAAAAAAAAAAAAAAAAAAAAAAAACCAGGGCTGGGGTCAGCGGGCGGAGCCAGCATGCCCCAGTGATACCCAAGAACCACAGGAACCAGGAGTGGCGGCACACGCCTGTCACCCCAGCACTTGGGAGGAAAGTCAGGATTTCAAGGTCATCCTCAAGCACATCATGAATTCTAGGCCAGCCTGGGCTACGTGAGACCTTGCCTCAAAAAATAGGGTTTTGAACCAATGAGAGACGACGTCAGAGGAACCTGGAATCTCAGCTCATTGTAAGCAGAATCAGGACAGGTCACGCTGTCTCCACCGAGCACCATTGACTCATACACTGAGTCTAAAGGTTGCCCCTAATCCAGATACTCTCGCCCCAGGAAATTCTGATGTGACAGGTCTGAACCCAGTAACTCCAGAACTGTTTTGGGGTGTGTGTGACACACACACACAACGTTTGGGGTGGTTCCTAGGGGTCTTATCACATGCTAGGCAAGCGCTGACCACTGAGCCACACCCCCAGCCCTCTTTCTCTCTCTTTTTTTTTTTTTTTTGGTTTTTTGAGACAGGGTTTCTCTGTATTGTTTTGGAGGCTGTCCTGGAACTCGCTCTGTAGATCAGGCTGGCCTCGAACTCACAGAGATCCTCCTGTCTCTGCCTCCCGAGTGCTGGGATTAAAGTCGTGCGCCACCAACGCCCGGCTCCTCTTTCTCTTTTATTTTCTACATTTTATTTATTATTTATCATACGTCTATGTGAGTGTATGCTCATTGTGTGCTCGCGTAGAGGTCACAAGACAACCTGCAGGAGTAGATTTTTCTCATTCCACCGTGAGTCTTGGAGATCGGACTCAGGTATCTGTCCCTGCCAACTCATTGGCCCCTGATCGTAACTCCAGAGGCCCCGGGGAGGAGCTCAGAGGGCTCAACTCCTTGGGAAGCTTGCTTGCCATCATCTATAGCTCAGGTGGATCAGGTGGTGGTGTCTGTCCGATGCTCAATAAACCGGTCTGGCATTCCTCAGCCTAACTGCTGATAGGGAAGGCTGCAGCTTCCGGCTGGTGATAAAGGTTTCCCAACAGAGCAGTCAGGTGATGAGGGTCATGCTTCAAGCCTTGTGATAGCCACTTAAGCCCGGTTACTGTCACCTTACCTGGTGGGCAGCAAAGCCTAATTGGCCCCTTTGAAGTCAGTCAGACACCCCTGGAACCCCCCACCCCAAGCAGAGGGTAGCAGCTGCAGATAAGCACTTTCTTAGTTCATGGGGTCTGCGACCTCCCTACAGCTGTCTCCAGCTGCCAGGAACTGACCCCACCTCTCACACCCCGCCCACAAGATTACTTTCTCGGCAGAGAAAGCCAGAGAAGCCCCCAGGGTCAAAGACTGCTGCGTGTAGCCAGGGCTTTGAAGTGGTCAAGGGAGTCTTTCTGCCTGGTTTGCAGACAATGCTGTCATCTCAGCATTCCTGATGGAGGCAGGGGATGGCAAGTTCCAGGCCATCCTAGTTTACAGAGCAGGCCCGTTTCCAAGACCAATTACCAAAACAGAAACAAAAGACTGAATGTGAGACATTCCAAGAGAGGGCTGCACCGGGCCGGCATGGAACAAGCCTGGCTTTATTCAAGGGTCCCTCCCCCTCCACTCCCCACCCCTACTCCTGCTCTAGCGGCTGGGACCAGTGTTGGGCTGGTAAAACTATTTACAACCGAAGCTGCTGGGTGGCTTACTCGGGAGGACAGGAGACTCGGTACCGGGGAAGGAGGGTGGAGCCGTAGGCCAGGAAGCGTGGGACACGCTTTTGAGCACAGCTCTAACTCTGGAGACAAGGGCGGCAGAACCCACCTTCCTTAGCACTCAGGAACTCAGTCCCCACCTCCAAAGTCCCAGGGTGGCCAGGCCAAGCAAGAGTTGCAAGTGCTGCAAAAGTTGGGAGCCTCTGGTAAAAGTTAGTCTCCTGTAAAAGTGGGATTTCCTAGCGTGCAGAGATTTGGGGTCCTCTGACCCTCCAAAGCAAAGACCCAGCACAGCCTCGTATCTCCCTCCTCCCCAGGGGAGCCCCAAGATCGATCCTGGGCCCCCAGCTCTCACCAGAGTCCTCAGGTTGTCGAGGCAGGGAAACCTCCCCTCCCAAAGCCAGTTCGGATCTGCCCGGGAGGGGCGGGGCGGCCCTGTGGATCCCGTAGGGGGAGGGGCTTGGGAGTGGCGGGACAGAGGACCAATAAGAGGGCCCCATGACTTAGTCCCGCCCCCACACCCACCTTTCTCAGGAGCGGCTGACCAAGTCGCCTGTTGAGTCCCCGAAAGATCTATAGTTCTGGTCCTTTAAGGAAGGGGGAGAGGAAACCCTGTGTAACGTCCTTTCCTGAGAGGTTATTGGGATCCTTGCATCCCCCATGTTTCCAGAGACCTCAGAGAGGCCCATGGATCCAGGGGATGGCTGAGTGACGCCTTCAGATGTACCAAGTGATAGAATCGATAGCCCGGAGTACTCGCGGCCTCGATAGGACCCTAAATGAATGCTTGTTTCTCTCAGCCAGCCTGAGGCGCTCACCGTGCCTTCCGGTGGGCGAGGTGCTGAGGCCAGAGACGGCCACCCGTCGTGGTTCCTGGACTCCTGGATCAAGCAGTCCCTGAAGCTGCCCGCCCTCCTGAAGTCTTTCTCCCCGAGGTCTGTAAGCCAGGGGGTGGACCTCAAACGGCCTCGGGGTGACTTGATGTGCTGCTCCTCAACCCCTCAGGTCTTCTTCCTGTTTCCACTGAACAATGTTGCCTTTCCAGGGGCGGAGGATGGATGGGGCTCACTGCTGCAGACGGCCCCTGCCCCCGATGCGCCCCTTCCCTCTGTGGCCCCCACCCAGATGATGCACATCCCCTTTGGGACCCCCACTGGCACCTCTCCTCTCTGTGACTTAGCAGGCATGCACCGTTAACCTTTAGCCTGGCCTGTGCTTCATTGGCTGTGTAGATAGTCATTCAACAATTATTAGACTCCTACTGCATACCAAGGTCCTGCAGAGCAACCCTGGGGACACAGTGTGGACCCTCTTGGCTTGGTAGCACTCAGACCAGTGGGATGACAGGCTGACAGGATAGCATTAAGACTTTGGGGGGGAGCCGGGCGTTGGTGGCGCACGCCTTTAATCCCAGCACTCGGGAGGCAGAGGCAGGCGGATCTCTGTGAGTTCGAGGCCAGCCTGGTCTACAGAGCGAGTTCCAGGACAGGGTCCAAAAGCTCAGACAAACCCTGTTTCGAACACCCCCCCCCAAAAAAAAGACTTTAGGGACTGTTGTTCTTTTGTTTATGTTAAATAGGGCACTCGATCGCAATGGAACACAAACCAAAATATTTAAAAATTGTGTTTACTTAGTGTGTGGCGGCCAGACAAGAGCACGCAGGCGTCATTTCCCTCCACCACGTGGTGCCTTGGGATTGAACCCAGGTCTTCAGGAATGGCAGCAAGCTCCCTTCCTCACCGATCCATCTGGCTGGCCCCCAAGGAACTTTTACTTTGGACAGGCCATCCCCCTGCCTCGGTCTCCCAATGTTGGATGAGAGGCATAGGCAACCACTTCTGGCTTTTTTTAACTTTAGAGAAAACTAGGGGCCAGGCCAGACTGCTTACTCATTACACACCAAACTTGGGTTCCACCCCCAGCAACAAGTCCAGCAGGTATAATGCATGCCTGTCACCCCAGCACCCTGGAGAGCTGGAGGCAGGGGGATGAGGAGGGTCAGTTCAAGGGCAGCCTGTGCTAACTGAGTTTGAGGCCAGTCTGGGATGCATGAGATTTGAGACAGGAAGATCCCAGATGAGAGAGAGCTAGCTCTCTGTCTGCAGTGGCTGCATCCTGATGTCACCCTGTCCCCACTCACTGGAGGACACATTAACAGTCGCACGTCCTTGCTTTTATTCAGCAACCTGGTGGCCAGATGCTGTCCATTTTTCCGACTCCTGTGACCTATGTGGTCAGTGTTTTCTCCTGCCCTCACCACAGGAAACTGGGGGACATTTAACATGCAGGCCCTGGCTGTCCCCGCCCTCCTGGGCCTCATGGCGCCAGCTGCCCGCTGTCCCGTCAGAGGCAGTGGTGGTGGCAGGCTTGGGGGAGGGGCACAGCTCTAAGACCCGTGGCCCACCAGGCTGGTCTAGCTTCTCCCAGGCCCCTGGGGCTACTGGTTTCCTTTCTCTGCCCACCACACGCTGGTCGCTCCAGCTCCTGTGAGGGCAGTCACTAAGTGTCCTTGGTTCCTCGTTTCTCTGGGCGCTGAGACAGAACCTGCAGGGTGCCTGGTGGCTCCTGAGGTGACTTAAAACTAAGCAGGCCAAGAGGCAGACTTCACTTTGTAAATACCTTGGCTGACCCAAGTGCTGTGCCCTGTGGGGCTTGTAATCCAATCTCTTGGGGACCACAGCCCTCCCAGTCCCCAGAAAGGGCAGGCAGCTGGGCACAGGGTGACCTGGCTTGCCTGGCCACTCAGAGTACTGCCAGCAACCAGGTCATCCTGGTCATGTTGTCATGCCTGTGGGGACAAGCTGTTCTTGCCGTCTCCTTGTTCCTGGTTGGAGACTGGGGACCGCTGTCCTGGTGACCACATTGAAACTGATTAAGCAAACATGGAGGTGTCACCTTGGACCTGGGGGGGGGGATATTCAGGTCCATAGGACCCTTAAGTCCTTCTAATTGGGAGCAGAATCGGGCCCCTCCCACCAGTCCTAGATGGTGGGGAGATGGGTCACAGCACTGTTGGTTGGGGCTTGCAGTATGGACAGTCTCCCAAGCTTGCAGCTGTGTGAGTAGCTTAGGTTCCTGGGAGGGGGGTTATTTTGGGGTTGGAAGCCAGGAAGAAAGAGAGGCCCTTCCATGGGGGACAGGAAGCAGGGTGGCCCAGCTGCCATCTCCCGTTGGCCCAGCTGGCATGATGGGTGTCATCAGTCACCACACAGGAAGCGAGTGTCCCCAACGCTTGCCTGTGTGGGACACTGAGTCTCAAGGGCAGAGGGGGAAGGAGTCTCCCTGTGAAAGCTGCAGAGCTGGATAGAAAGTTCCAGAAAGACTTAGCTGGGTTGTCGATGGCAGCTATGGCGTGAACACTGACACAGGGTCTCACATAGTCCAGGCTGGCTGGCAATGTGATATGTAGCCGGTAATGACCTTAAATCTCCCAGCTTCCCCAGTTCTGGGACGACAGCCATGCATCACCTTGCCTCAGGCCTTGGAGATCTCTGTTTAGAGGTAGATGCTTAACCCATGGGAACTCGGCCCACAGTGGCTTCTCTGCCAAGACTTTAGAGACATCTTTGTTCATTCAGACTGGGTCTCTCACATAGTGCAGGCTAGCTTGGACTTGCTATGCAGCCGAGGCTGGCCTTGAACTCCTGTTCCTCCATCTGAGTGCTGGGATGTGCCAATCACACCAGGATTATGTGGTATTCAGGATAGAGGCATTGTACATGCCCAGCTAGCCCTGGGCCCAGCAGACAAGCAACTCACATAGAGTTACAATACGCTTTTAATATTTAAAGTTGGGGCATTCAAACCAGTTGATCCTCGTTTACTGACTCGTCCACCTTGGGGCAGTTGGCCTTGTCTTCCCTGGTGCTGGTGATGACGATAGGTAGCCGGGCTTTGACAGTTGTCAAAGACCAGGGGAGGTGGATAGTGACCACAAGCTCATAGCTGGTCTGCATAATCTCGTTCTCCTGGGAGCCGTTACTCACAGACAACACCAGCGGCAGGGTAAAAGCACTAACCACCGTGGTGCTGTTGAAGGCTGGGATGCGAGCATTGGCCATCTGCCGAAGCAGCTCACTGCTGTCTGCCCGCCGACGGCGCTCGGCATTGGGTGTGAAGCCCTCATACTGCACGTGGGCATAGAGGGCGAACACCACTGTCTTGATGTATTTGCCAGTGTTGTTGCAGATCTCCGACGTAAACGTTACCGTCTCACCCGGCACAAAAGTGTTCTTACCCATCTGCACCTGCAGGCTAACCCAGCCCTGCCTGCAGCAGCTGTAGGACACCTTCTTCTCGGCTTCCACCAACAGGGGGTTCTATAAGGGAAGAGGATAGACCCGCTGAGGCTGGCTGGTGCTCCTGCAGGCTGCGGGGGGGACGCGGGACCCGGACTTCCGTCTCTCAGACTTGAGTCTCCAGCCCTAGGGTCCTTGGAGGCTCAGATTGGAAGACGGTTGATTCAAGGCCAGCCTGGGCCACAGAAGGGACAGCTTGGACTATAGAATGAGACTTTTAAAGAAGCACAGGACAAGCTAGGCAGTGGTGGCACACTTGGTGGGGAGAGGCCAGCCTGGTCTACAGAGCTAGTGCCAGGACAGCCAGGCCTGTTACATAAGAGTAACCCTGTCTCAAACTGCCGCCCTCCCCCAAAAAAGTCATGAGACAAAGCTGGGATTGGTGGCACATGCTTTTAATCCCAGCACTCGGGAGGCAGAGGCAGGCAGACCTCCAGGCTAGCCTGGTCTAACTAATTCCAGGACAGCCCTGGCTACACAGAGACCCTGTCTGTCTCAAAAGAAACAAGAAAGCTTCCAGAGTTTAAGAGGCTTTGCTCCTACATGCCAGGAGCTTCCCCCATGAGGTAGCTACTTTCACTTAGACCCTTTCCTTCCAATGCCCTCATTTGACTTTTAGGAGGTTTGGGGGTACTGGGGACCTCCATTATGAACCATATGCCTGGAATGGCCCCCAACAGTCAACTCACCTGCAAGATGTCCCAGGGCCAAATATCCCAGGATATAAAATTACGGAGTTGAGAGCCACCCCGCCTCCTAGGCTCCTAATTTCTGAGTTACCTTTTTTTTTTTTCCATTTTGGTTTTTTGAGACAGGGTTTCCTTGTGTAGCTTTGGAGCCTATCCTGGAACTTGCTCTTGTTGGTTGGTCTCAATCGCACAGAGATCTACCTGCCCCTGCCTCCCGAGTGCTGGGATTAAAGGTGTGTGCCCCTGCCCTTCTGAGTTACCTTTTTTTTTTTTTTTTTTTTTTTTTGGTTTTTTGAGACAAGGTTTCTCTGTGGCTTTGGAGGCTGTCCTGGAACTCGCTTGGTAGTCCAGGCTGGTCTCGAACTTACAGAGATCCGCCTGCCTCTGCCTCCCGAGTGCTGGGATTAAACGCGCGCG